ATTTATAATAATTTAATAATATATTATATTATCTTTATAATTATTCTTTTCTTTATTAAAAGTAATTCCTATATTAAGTTCCTTATACTTAATAAAAAATATAATATAATTAATATTAATAGCCTTATAATTAATATATTTTACTTATATAAAGTATTAATTATAATATTATTAATATTTTATTAATAAGTAATTTAAAAATTAAAAATTAATTTTACTATAAATATAATACTTTTTATTTCTTAAGGTATTTTATTAATTGCTATAATAAAAATTATATTAAAAATAAAAGCCATTATTATTAAAGTTATTTTAATTAAAGTTACCTTAATTAAAGTTATTATAGCTAAAGCCTTTTTAATTATATTTATTATAACTTAATAGCTTATTATCTTAATATTAGCGATTAATATAATATACCTTATTTCCCTTATTATTAATATTTTAATTATTTTTATTATAATATTAATTAACATTATATTAAAAATTAAATTTAAGAAAAAATCTTAATTTTAAGAATAATGCTTTATATAAATACTTAAAATTAAAAAGTATATATTATAATTTTAACATGCTTATATAAATATAAATAATTATTATTCATAAAAAGTTATTTTCTTAATAAAGTGCATTAAATATTTATTAATATAATTATAATTTATTAAATATTATAATAAAAACTTTTTAAAAGTGCTTATTAATATTTTTTAAGTTAATATATATCCTATTAAATATAATTAAGGTTTAATTATAAAAGTATTATTAATAATTAACCTTTATATTAAAGTAAACTTTAAACTTTAATTATATATTATAAATAAAAAACCCTATATTAATATAATAAATATAGTAAATCTTAATATAATTTTTAAAAATTAAGAGAAATATTATATAAAATTATTTAAGTTTAATATTTACTATTTAATAAATATTAAGGAAAATCCTTATTTTATTATTTAATAAATTATATAATTTACTACCTTAATTCTTATTTTTATTTTATATTTTATTAAATTATATATTACTATTAATATTAAGAAAATTATTTATTATTTCTTAAAGGAATAGGTTTTAATATAAATTATATAATTATAAAGATTTTAATATTATAATAAGTAATAATGCTAAATATAAAGTCTTTATTAACTTTTTAAAGGAAATGCTTATAAATTATTCCCTAAGTTATAAAATTTTTAAATATTTTAATAAACTTAATCTTTATTAAAATAATATTTCTTAATATTTTAAGAAAGCCCTTATATTTAATTAATTAAGGGTTTCCTTTTTATAAAATAATAATTATAATACTTATTATAAGGAAGTTAATTAAATAAAATTCTACCTTAATTTTATAAATAATTAAAAATAAAATGGTTATAATCTTTAAAATTCTTTATTATCTTTAATAAAGAAAATTAATTACTTTAAATTTTAATAAAAAGAAATAAAAATTATAAATAGCGAAATTATATTAATAATTAAGGTTTTTTAAATTTCTTAAATAATAAATATTTCTTAAGTATTTATTATTTTTAGCTTTTAAAATTAAAGCTATTAAATATAAAATTTAAAGAGTTTATATATATTAACTACCTTATATAATTCCTTTTCTTGCTATAAAGGATATTTATTATATATAAGTAATACTTTTAGGTTAATATATTACTTATTAACACTTTCTTTAATATTAACTTTTCTTTCTTAAAGGAATTTCTTAAAGTTTTAAATAATAATTAACTTTTTAAATATTATTATATTTTAAAAAGTAAAATCTTTTATAAAGCATTAAAATAAATTATTATTTATATCTTAACATTTTATTATTTTCTTTATAAACTTAAGAATAATAGCGTTTATTTAATTAATTATATTATTTACTTTTATTATTAATTTATTTTAATAGCTAAGATTAACTTATTAATTTTAAAACCTTTTATTAAGATTAAAAAGTAACCAAAGTTCTTATATAAAAACATTATTAATATTTAAAGGTATTTTCTTAACATTATTATTAAATTTAACTATTTTATTAAGCTATTAAAATATTTAAGTAATTTATATATAAAGAAAAAGAAAGAAGGTAATTAAGGGAATATAATAAGATTATTTTAAAGCATAAAAAGAAAGTATTAATTATATAATAAAAAAGTATTTATTAAAAAGTATTTATTAACTTAAGTAAATATAATTTATTATTTATATTAAAATAAAGTAATTATAAATACTTTTAGCATTAACTGCGTAATAAAATGCACCATATAATTAATAAATTTAAGGCATTATTAAGAACTTATTAATTAATAAATTAAATCTTTATAATAAAAAGGTTAAGGCATTATTAATTTCTTTTTATTAATTTTAATTATAATATAGCTATTAATACTTAATTAAGTAGGGTTTTATTATTAATAATTGCTTATCTTTATAATATTAATATTAATTATTTAGCGTAAATATCATAATTTAATTATAATGGTTTTTATTATTAATAGTTACCACTTAATTAATAATAATATAAATTTATTGCTTACTTACCTTGCTATTTATAACTACCTATAGGTAATTATTAATTAATATTAACTAAGTTAATATACATTAGTTAATAATAAACTAATTATATTTAAATTAGTTATATAAAAGGAAGGAGGGTTGTGGTTATAGGCTGCAAAACCTCCCTTTAATTATAAACTATTTAAGGTTGGTTATATACTGCCGCACGTAACCCTTGCTTGCCGGTGCTTTAGTGCTAATTGCCTATAGTGCCTATCGCTTATAGTGCTGCTATCCCCTTATAGCACGTCCATAACCACATAATTAATATTATTTAATATAAAATATAAATTATTTCTTAAAAGTTATTTATTTTAAATTTATATTATATTATTTTTACTTATTTTAAATTAATAAAATTAATTAAAAATAAGAAATTAAAATTAATTAATATTAATTAATATTAACCTTTATTAATTTTTTAATATTAAATAAATATTAAAGTTAATTAAAGTTAAAAAAATTAAAAATATTAATTATTAATTAATAAATTATATTAAAGAAATTATATTTTTTAATATTAAAATATATAAAAATTAAAAATAATTTATTAATATTAATTTTATATATATATATATAATTAAAATATAAAATAAAAATAAAAATATAATTTTAATATAATTAATTCTTTAAATTATTTATAAAAATATTAAAAATATTAAGAAATAATATATAATAAAGTATAATTCTTGATAATTTAATTTATATAAATATATATTAATTATAATTAAAATTATATATATAATATTTAAATCTTTTTATATATTTAATTTATAAATTTTTAATTATATGTAATTTTATATTATAATAAGTATTATATTTATAGAGATATAAGCCCTTAAAAAGCTAGCTTTTTGGTGTAAAAAAGTGGCCAGAATCTGGGGGTGGCCTGAATGTGGGCCACTAGACTTAAATCAGACAAACGACAAAATATTCAAATGGAAGGTAGCGTAGCTGGGTAGATCGTGGGTACGTAGGCGTGTTCGTCATTGACGTTCCCATCTTGACTACGTACCTAGGTCCTGGGTTTGAATCTCAGCCTTCCTGTTTCTTTTTTCTTCTCTTGCCATCTCTCAAGCGAGCAGAATTTCAAGATGAATTGCTGTCTCTGTGTGATCATCCCGTGATCTGCGCTTTGGCTAAGCGTTCCACGAGCTCGACCAGGCTGCATTTTTTTGGAACAAGGCAGAGTTAGAGTCACATTGATGCTAAGCTGGGTACCCATTCAGACTCACACTTTATCATCTTGGACTGCCTCAGGAAGCGCACTCCACTTTACAGTCTTTTTCCTCAACAATACTGAAGACATTCATTCTCCAACATGGAGTCTATAGTCTCTGAGCCATTCATTTTACTTCGTCCATGTGAGTGTGGTCATCCCCGTCGTAAGAATAATCATCGTAGAGTTCGTTCCTCTCTAGGTTTCACGTTGTAATCTGGGACTTGAGAAAATCTGGTCAGCTGTTTGATCAGGTCGATCTCGCTCTGGTGATGTAAACCAGCATGGGAGCACGCCTCGACTGCTATGTAACACAGGTAGGGGCAAGCATATGAGTTCCCTCGTCAATTTCCCAAACATCCCTACGATTCTTTGGCCAATACTGCGAAGTTTGAAGCGTCAAGATATTGTTCAAGGTCAAAGGAGGATGCGGGCTGAGGTAACAGATCCATACTAGAAGGATCAATGAATGCAGTAGAGGGTGCAACATGGAAGGCAGTGAGGTGTGTGTTTGTGTCTAGCGAGCACATAGCTCTCGTGAGTTTAGAAACACCTAGTATTTGCATTTGGTTCGACCGGCACACCCACCAAGGTATCTCAGTAGATCCAGTTAAAGATCTAGTCCGATGAGCTCGTTTAGGATGATTTAACGCAGCTTATTGTATGATCTGTCGACTGTTATGACTGACCAATGTAAAATCTTATCCAAGCGACCTTTCATCTGCCTGCACGAGGCTTTTGGGCCCTGTAGTCTGTTTGTTCTACGGAATTTACGCGCAATGGGTGATTCCAGAAGCAACCATTTATATGCTCATGCGGCCTGGGTACTTATGCGTGGTGCATGACACATGTAATTAACGGGCTCGTAGCGACATGGGGCCCGGATATCAACAGCTTCGATGCCGAACGCGACAATGTGCACACTGGGATAATTATTGGGGGCGTGCCGTATCCGTGCAAGTGTCACGCACAAGCACTTCGGGGTTGTTGTTTAAATCTCGGTTCCATGGCCCCATCACTCCATACTCGTGCTGTCAGCACCGGTGATTCCGGTCAGTCGTGTTGCCTGAGTGGCCCGTCCATTGGACCAGTGACTCCGGACCAGAGGCAAGCATTAGAGCCATACGAGGACATGTCGCGGAGGGATAGTTCGATGTTCGTTCGGGATCATGAGAAGAACCAGTCTTCAGACCGCCTTGGATTATTGACTCGCAGGATTGACCTTCCCATCTCACATTACCCCAGGATCGCGGGACATGATGTTGAAGAAAAAAGCTTGAATTGGGGTTAGTCATCGGGGAAAAGGGTCGCCGTCGCTACCTTGCAACCAGGTCATCCTCGTATTCGACGTAGCGTCAGGGGGGCAGGCCAGCACAGCCGCCGGCCTTGGCAGCGGCAATGTCCAGGTGTGTGACGTCGAGACACTCCTCCCGGCGGAGCGCATGCATGCAGAAATACGAAGCCGCCGCCCTCGGGGTGAGGGCGATTGCTGCCATTGGATGGAGGGCGTGTGCCCACTCACCTGTTCTGGAAGAAATATTCTTAGAATCGGCGTGTCCTAGTCAACAAAGTGGGTGATGCTCCGTCTTTCCGAGGACTTTACATTAAGCTTAAGTATCCACCTGCGTGCATAGATCGAACTCTGATCAACATCCGATCTCTGGGTGCCTGTCCAGGTTCGTCATATAACAAGGACAGCCCTCCCCGTTGGAGTGTCTTCACATGTCCCCAGTCTGAGCAGGAGTCTTCGCTATCTCTCTCACCCTTGTTCACCTCCACCAACTCTGTATACCTCGCCTAGCAGACTAGGGAACAAACCGCAACAATGAAGCTCTCAACAGTACTCTCCGGCCTCTCTGTCGTGGCTGGCACGGCCAACGCAGCCATCCAGGGGTTCAACTACGGGGCCTTCTTTAACAACCAAGCCGCCAAGCAACAGGTTGATTTCGCGTACGAGTTCAACAAGGCCAAGAACCTGCCCAACCAGTCCGGGTGGAACGCCGCACGGCTGTACACGATGGTACAGTGGGGGACGGCAAGCGACGTGGTGTCGGCCATCCCGGCGGCCATCAACTCGCAGACGAAGCTTCTGCTGGGCCTGTGGACGTCGGGAGGCAGCTTCCAGAACGAGATCAAGGCGCTGCAGACGGCCATCAACCAGTACGGCACCGCCTTCACCGACCTCGTGGTCGGCATCTCGGTCGGAAGTGAGGACCTTTACAGGCAGTCTTCGGGGGAGGTCGGCATCGGGCCGGACGAGCTGGTGGGCTACATCAACCAGGTTCGCAGCACGATCGCGGGCACTCCGCTGCAGGGCAAGCCGATCGGGCACGTCGACACTTGGAACATGTGGCTGGACGGGGCGAACAGCAAGGTGATTGCGGCGCTCGACTTCGTTGGCATGGACGCCTGTAAGCCCCATTCTTGTCCTTTTACGCTTCCCCGTCTGTCATGTTTTGGAATGTTCCAGAGTGTGTTACTTTAGGATCCGTAGCAGGTGATTAACAGGTACTATAGATCCGTATTTCCAGGCGGCCTTCGACAATCGGATCGAGAACGCGGCCTCGCTGTTCTGGAGCGCGTACGACCAGACCAAGGCGGCGTCGCAGGGCAAGGAGGTGTGGGTGACGGAGACGGGTTGGCCGGTCAGCGGCGATACCGTCAACGGCGCGGTGCCCAGCGCGCAGAACGCGCAGACCTTCTGGAAGCAGGTGGCGTGCGGGCTCATCTCGAGGAACATCAACACCTTCTGGTACGACCTGCAGGAGAGCCAGTGGGGCCAGGCGAACCCTGACTTTGGCATCTACGGGGCGGGCGACCTGGGCGCCCTCTCGCCACAGTTCGACCTGTCCTGCTAAGGTCAGTGGGGAAATTTGACGTTGGAGGTATGGCGGCATAAACTTATTTAAATGTAATGGATAATACATATCTGGCCATAGTCCATTTAGGGCTGGAGATCTATTGTGTAAATTTAATGCTTGTCATCAACATTTCGGGGGCCATTGTCTTGGTGTGATTTGGTGCGATTTGCATGGCATTCGGACGATATCGACAACCTGAGCGTCAGTTGTCAATGACTATACACACTGCTGTTCTCATTGATCACAAGGGGAGGACATGATATGGTAGTGTTAGTCTGCTGTGTAGTTCTTGTACGTGTCTTCCAGGGTTGTATTGAAGGTGAACATGCCCTGTCGGGAATTGTGGGCTTGCCCCCACAGGGCCAACACACACGAGTCCCACACAATAATATAAACACCATAAATTATGCCCCTTTCAGGCCCGTTTAGCTCATCGGTAGAGCGCATCACTAGTAGTCCAAGTATGGGCAATGATGAGGTGACTGGTTCGATTCCAGTAATGGGCAGTAACGTGCCCCGAACGTGGCCGATGCGGCTGTGTTGTCTTTTTGCCTGGATGTTGGATGCATCGTGGGGTGTCTTGGGCTGGTGAAGCCAACACGTGATAAGGAGCAGACAAAGAACAATGGGTGCCTGTTGGGACCTAGTTTTGCTTCTAGCCTGACCCGTCAGTGCTATCTTCCCTATTGCAAAGGTGTGAGTGCAATGGGAGGCTAGTCAGCCACTAATCCATAGATCTTGCGAATATCCTGTCTGTCCTCTTCTGCAGAGGTGACAGTCTGGCAGTCTGGCTGAAGGGTGATGTTTCTTGACCCGCACTTGGGAAGGGAGAGTGGATTTCCAATGGGGATCTGGAGACTGGCTTCTGGAAGAATCGGATTGATTGATTGATTGACTGATTGACGGATTGTCTTGTCAGGGGCAGACAAACGGGGCAAATGCAGATGTGGTGCCCCCCTCCCCCCCCACCAATGATGGAGCAAGAAATGGAGCGACGCGTAAGGAAAGGACGGACCAGACGGGAAGCAGCAGGATAATGGACTGGAACGAACGGAGGAAGGCTCGGAAGTCGGTCGGGGTGGAGAGAGCACAACAACCCGGGGCCGATCCAGCCGCATTCCTGCTTTGCTGACAGATTGGGCGAGTGGGCGAGTGGGCGAGTGGCTGCTGATGGCTGCACTCACTCTGTTGATGACCGTTGACTCCATCTACACGATCTCTCTCTCTCTGCACCTGGCTCTTCCCTCTCCAACAGCCGCAACGGCACAGACTCGACATCATCAACATCGGCAGCGGACGGCCTGTCCAGTCAAGCCTCGAGGACAGCCGCGGTGCTGCTGCGAGACTGCGCGCTTGTTCGAGTCGCCCCCACCGACCTCCCCCATCCACACCCACACCCAGATCCAGCAATCCCGGTCTCCTCCTCCCCGTCCCATCTCCATCTCAACCCAGATTTCCCATAGCAAATCTGGCCATTCTGACGCGGCCCTGCGCTTGAACCCTCCACCAAGCCGAAACACCAGCGCCTTGCCCCCACTGCGAAACAAGCGCGCCCTCGCAATGCCTTGGGCTTGGACCTCGTCGCCAACGGCAATGGCTCCTTCTTCCTCTTCATCGTGCTTTTCGCCCTCATCCTCCGCCTACGCCTCCTTCGCCCGCGCAGCCTCGGTATTATTATCCTCGACGACAAAAACAACCGCCTACCTCGCCCTTGTCGCCCTCTGCCTCCCAATGGCCCCTCGGTCACGATCACAGCGTCGAGAACATCCCTGATGGCGATGCCACCTCTCCAGAGCCTATCGTGCGTCAACCCGTCTCCCTGTCTGCTGTTGTCTTCTCTGCGCGTCCACAGACTGCTGACCTGACTCGCCTCGTCTCTGCAGGACTCGACATTATGGGCTCACATCTTTGTCAACATGCTGGCCTTTGGCGTGCTGTTCCCTCTCGGCATGGTGCTAGGCGTGAGTCTCCCCCTTTCCTGACATCGGTTCTGTCCGCTGTGGCATACGTGCCGCCCTGCCTCCCGGATGCCACGGAATCACCAACTGACCGCGGGTCTCGCCCGAACAGATAACCAAGAGCCGATGGCACGTCCCCATCCAGACTCTGTCCTCCGTCCTCGCCCTCCTCGGATACGCCCTCGGCCACATGCACGGGGGCCGCGAGTTCCTCCCCACCAACGTCCACGCCCACTTCGGCGACTGGGTCTACTTCCAGATGTTCGCCCAAATCATTGTCGGCGTCTACCTCCGCCTCCACCTCGAGAAGGGGATCCATAAGCGCATACGGCCCGTCATCCGCATCATCCACAGCATCAACGGCAAGACCTTCCCCGTCGTCGCCTGGGCCCAGATGCTGTTCGGCGGCATCACCGCCCTGGGTTTCTGCCAGGGCGACCACCTGGGCCAGTGTCTGGCCCACTTCATCATGGGCAGCGCCTTTATCGCCTACGGCATCCTCCTGACCATCGCCATGCTGGTCGGCCAGCTGTGGATCAAGCGCACCGGCCGCTCCCAGGAGTTCTTCGACAGCGTCGTCATCGCCGCCTGGGGCTGCGTCAACACCTTCACCGAGCACAGGTGGGGCACCGCCTGGGTCAAGAACGACTGGCAGCACACGACCATGGGCATTGTGTGGTGGTGTGCCGGTCTGGCCGGTATCTGGTTGAGCAAGGACAGGCTCGGCCGCCCCAAGAGGAACTTCATCCCGGGCTTCGTCATCGCCATCACCGGCTGGGCCATGTCCGCCCACCCTCAGGATCTCATGATCTCCGCCATGACCCATAAGGCCTTTGGTTACACCCTGATGGCCGCCGGATTCACCCGCATGGTTGAGGTTTCGTTCGTGCTTCAGGACAAGGTCGGCATCTCGGACGACGGCTACGACACGCATAGCTTCCAGTATATCCCCGTATTTGTGAGTCCGCCCCTCCCCTTTCCACGGCATGTCTGCCTCTGCGCAGCCCGGGGCTAACGTATGTCTTCCCCACTAGCTTCTCTACGCCTCCGGCTTCCTGTTCATGGGCGCCACCGAGGAACAGATGCATCTCGTCAACTCGTCCGGGATCGACGCTGTCGCCTACGTGCTCATCCTCTACAGTCTCGCCTTCCTCGTCTTCCTCTTTACCAACGTGCTGGTGCACATCTACGACCGCAGCGTCAACCTGAACGGGCACACCAAGGGTATTAATGGTCACGCACACGGTTCTAACGGCCACACTCTGGCCCCAGCCCAGGAGCGTAGGCTGCGAGATGCCGAAGAGTTTGAGCTGGACGACATCATGAGCGACGAGGACGAAGAGGACGCCCAGCGGCAGAAGCTGCTGAAGGAGGAGAAAGATGATGTCGACGGCGATGGCGAGGGTCTGTCGAGCCCCAGCACGGTCGGCAGGAACAATGATCGGGTTGCTTAGCGGGCAGGCCATCACGGAACACCACCGCAAAGACCCTGCGGGTACGCCAGCGGGCACGCCAGCGGGCAAACAGCTTTCAGGGGCGCACCGACAGATGGGAGTACTTTCTTGGTGATACCAGCGCGGAGGCGTACGAGGGCACATAATTTGCCAAACAGCATCGAGGGCGTTACGGGAGCAAACTGCATGGCCGTCTTGTATTTATTTCCGGGGCTTGTTTCTCTACACGGTTGGGCAAAGAATTGTCAGGATTACGCAGTGAATATAGATACACAAAAGCAGCCTCTCATATTTGATCCAAGCACTCAGCTCTAATATGCATCGAGCAAGGGGCTGCTCAGCCTCCCAAGGTACCGAGGTACCCGCTGCTGCTGTCTGTCTTAAACGAAGTGATGCCCCCCCCCTGTCGTTTTGGTTAGCTATCCCCCCTTGCATTAAAATTTAGCTGTGAATGCAGAATATGCACTAAGATTCTTATAAATACCCTTATTAACATTATTATGCACTTAATTTAATAAAAAAGAAGTTATTATAACCCCATTTTGCATATATTTTTAAAATAATTAAAAATAATAAAATTAACTTAAGCTTATTATATTAAAAAGTATATACTTTATTAACCTTAGCTTAAGGTAATTATAGCTTACTTAAATTAATAAGTAATTTATTTTAATGGTTTTTAAAAAGCAAAAGCTTAATTATTATAACTATATATTTATTTATAACGTTAAATTATTTACTTTATTAATAAAGTATATATTAATTAATTAATAGCGTTATTATATATAAAGAAGTTAATAATAAAGATAAAGGTTGTTATTGCTATAAAATAAAAGTTAATAGCTTAATTAAAGCTCTTTTAAAATAAGTAAATAGCTGCTTAATATATTGCTTAGCATATTGCTAAAAATACTAAAAAGGTTACCTTTAAAGCTATTCTTAATAAAAATAATGTTTTAAGTAGCTTAAATAAAGCTAAGGGTGCTTATGCTAATTAAAAAACATTAAATATATTTAAATTATTATTATTAGCTAATAATATTAAGAATAATAATATTAAGAAGCTAAGAAGCTATTTTTTATTAAGAAAGTTATTAAGGAAAGTATTTTTAATATTATATATAAAAGTTATTAATATAAAGGCTTTTTTAATATTGCTAATAAAGCAATAAAGCTTTTAGTTTAATAATAATAAGTATAAGGCTTTTAATATTAATTTATTATTTAATAAGCTTTTCTTTAAAATAAAGAATTAAGTTAAAGCTAAGCTTATTAATATAAAAGATATAATAATTAAGTTATTATAAGTTTTATTTAAGGCAAGTTATTAATTATAAATAAGAATATTTTTAATTTAGTTAAGTATAATAAAGAGGATTAAAAGGCATTTTAAGGGAGAACTTTTTAATAATAAAATTATAAAGATATTCTTATTAAGCAAGGGTTTTTATTATTTTATAATTATATATACTTATAAAATAATATTTTTAATAATATAAATAATGCCTTATAATATTATAATGCTAAGGTAATTAAATATTAAGATTTTTAAGCCTTTTTTATTAATAAGGTTAATACTTAGCTTAGTAAATAATTTATTAATAGCTAAGCGCTTAAAAAGTATTCCTTTAATAAAAAAGTTATTATTGCCTTAAGGCCCTTAAAAAGGGTTAATTACTGCTTATATAATAATTATAATAAATAATAATTAATTGCTTATTTTTAAGGCTTATAAAAAGTTAATATAAATATAATAATGCTTTAAGGGTTTTTATTATAAGGTTAATTATTCTTATTATAATAAGGGGGATTCTTTATAATAATAATGCTATATTAAAAAGGATAATATATATATAAATATTATTAATATTAATTTAAATATATAAGTATAAGCAATAATTAATAATAAAGTTGCTATTTAAGGGCTTTTAAAAAAGCTTTTTATTAAGTAAATAAATATTATTAAAGTTAATAAAAGTAATAAGGAACTTAATAATAATAATATTAGCTTTATATATAAGTAAAAGAAGCTTAGGAAGGGTAATAAGCAAAGGGAAAGTAGCATTAATATAGTAGTTAACCTATTAATTAATTTTTATGCCCTTAGCTTTAAGTATAAGGACTTAGCAATGCTGCTATTAGCATTATTAGCATCTTTATTAATATATTTATTAAGAAGCTTTAAAGAATTGCTAATATTACTGGCGTTAATAGCTTTTTATTTAAGCAGCCCTATATGCTATTATTAATTACTTATGCTTTTATTATTATTACTATAAGTACTTAGTAATTAAAAGGCTTTTAATAAAGACTTTATATTTAAGGCTTTATAAAAGTATTTTTATATATTAGCAAAAAGGAGGTAATTAATAAAGTTATAAAAGGTTATAAAGCATAAGGGCATTAATCTTTAAGCCTTATACTTAAAGAAAGATATTTAATTTAATAAAAAGAGCTTAAATAATATTAAATTAATTAAAAAGCTTATAAAGCTATATTTAAAGGAAAGGAAGGACTTCTTTAAGCTTTTTAAGAGCGATAAGGAAAAGAAGGGCTTATTATTATTATTAACGTTAATATAAGATAAAAATTATAATTTTTAATAAGCAAGAAGTCCTTTAATATTAGCTAGTAATATATTAACGTTAAAGAGTAAATTTAAGGCATTTTTTAATAAATTTTAAGCATTTAATTAATATTATTTACAAAAAAAAGAGTAATATAGTTAATAAAAGAGTTAATAAAGTAATTACATATAAAAAAAGAGTATTTATTTAAATATTTAAAGAGTTAATTAAGAAAATTAAATATATTTCTTATAATAAATTATTAGCTATCCCTTTTTAATTACTTTAATAATATTTTTTTTTTATTAACTTCCTTATTATTAAAAAACTTACTATAAATAACCTTATTGCAATACTTTTTTCTTTTTATTAATATTACTTTTTTTGCTTTTTTTTTAATTATATAGTATTTTTATTACCCTTTATTGCTATCATTACCTTTAAATCTCTTCTTTAATATATATATATAATAAAAATATCCCTTAATTATCTTTATATATTAATTAATCTTTAAAGCGCTTAAGTATAAAAAACCTATAAATTTTTTATTATTATTATAATTATTTATTTTATATTAATATTAATAATAAATATACTTTTTTAAATTCTTAAAATATATTTTAATTAAATTAAAATTAAGAAAATATAATAATAAATATATTAATTAAATATCCCTTATCTTAATAATTATATAAATAGCGTAATTATAATGCTATAAGGCATTATTCATTATAAGGATTAATTAAGGGCTTAAATAAATATTTATTTATATTATGAGCTAGCCTTGGGTTGTTTGCCGTAAGGTGTTTAAATGGGGTTTATATTTAAAGTGCAAAGGAAAAGATTTACTTTCTATTTATACTTATATTAAAGCTTATTCTTATAAGGCTAAAGCTTATTAATTAATTATAATAAGCAAAGCTTAAATCATAATATATTTTTTTTTAAGTCCTTATGGCAGGCCTTAAAGGGTAGTTATATAATAAAAAATAAAGAATATTATGATTTAATTATAAATTAAATATTATTCTTTACCTAGCCATTTAATTATACTTTAATATTTTTTAATTATATTAAAAGCTTAGCTTATTATTTATAATTAATATACTTTAGCTTTTATAATTTAATATATTAGCTAAAGTAAGTTAATAAAAAATAATTATTTAAGTATAAGTTAATAATTAAGCTAATAATATTTTTATAATCCTTTAATGCAAGCCTTTTATATAAGCTTTCTTACTTAAAACCTTAAAATTATAGATTTATTATATAATTTATAATTAATTAGCGTTTAATTATAAGTAATTTACTTTATTAATGGGAATTTCTTAAATTTTAAGCATTTTTATAAGGCTAAATTAATTAGCATATAGCTAATTTACTTTAAGTTTAAGCTAGCGTTAAGCTAGTATTGCTTTTAAGCCTTACCTTATAAAAAAAATTTTGCATTCCCTTAAATAAACTCCTTTTTCTTATTAATCTTAATTAATAAAAGCTATATTTTTATTTTTTTATAATAATTAGAGTAATTGCGCTTATAATAGTTAAGTTAGCTATATATAAAATATTTAACTTTGTTTATTAAAATTATTATAATATTAATATTTATTACTTTGCTATTTTAAGGTTAAGTATTATTTTTCCTTATTATAATATTAAAAATGCCCTTATATTATTATAAAGCAAAGTAAAAAGCCTTAAATATATTTAGCTATTTCTTATAATTAAGCTAAGCTTTTATTATAAAAGTTAAGTTATTAATTATTAATAATATTTTATATTTATTTAATTAACTTTAAGCTTTTGTTATATAAGCTAATTAATTAAATTAAGTAAGAAATTTTATTATTTCCTTTTTATAGCGCTGCTATAATATAATTAAGTTAAGCTTAATATGCTTTTACTTAAAAGGATTTTTAAGCGCAAGGCAAACCTTTTTTAAGAAGCTTTTTAGCTATTTCTTAAATATTTTTATAAAATTAATATAAAGTAAAAAGTAATTATAAAAAGTTCCTAGTTAATTAAATATATAAAAGAATTAAGCTTTTTTAACGTTAATTACCTTTTTATTTATTGTAAATTTAGCCCTTATTTTTATTAGCTAAGTTGCTAAGTATTCTTAAAATAAGAGTTCCTTTAAATAAGAAAGGGCTTAATAGGCTATTATTATTTTTTTTAAGTCTTGCTATATTAAATTTTATATAATTATATTATAGGTTTATAATATAAGAAGACTTTAAATATATATTATGGGTTAGCCTTAGGTTATTTATTATAAAGTATTTAAATAAGGTTTATATTTAAAGTATAAAGGAAAAGATTTACTTTTTATTTATATCCATGCTAAAGCTTATTCTTATAGGGCCAAAGCCCACTAATTAATTATAATAAGTAAAGCCTAAACCGTAATAATTTAAGGGAAAACTTTCTTAAAAAGCTATATTAAAAAAAACTCCTTTATTATATGCCCCTTATATATTATAATATTAAAAAGATTGCTAATTATAATTATTAATAATAAATAAAAGTAAGCGCTTTATTTAAGAAAACTCTTAACTTAAAAAATATACCTTAATAATGCTTAGCTTATTCTTTTTATATTATTATGCTTATTAAGTTTTAATTTATTATAAAAAATAAATATCTTAGCAATATATTATAGCTTAAAAATCTTAAAAAGGTAATAGCTTTAAAGGTCTTTATTATATTGCTAAGTTAATATATATATTTGCTTATTAATTTAATTACATGCCTTAAGAGCTTTTATAAAAATTTTTATTAAATAGTTAATTTAATATACCTTAGCAAAAAAGCATTATATTTTATTAAAGTATATATTTAGCTTATTAAGGAAAAATTTTTTAAGCTTTTATATGGTAATAAAAGGGCATTAATAATGCTTAAAGGGCTTGCTATATTAAAAAATATTATATATTTTTAAAGCTTATTACTTTAATTTAATAATATTTAATAATAATAATAAAAATATATTTAGCATTATAATATTTATAATTATAACTCTTCTTTAATATTATTAAATTATTATCTTATTATATTAAAATTTAGCTTATAGCTATTTATTTAATAATAATAAGTTTAAGTGTAAATAAAATTATAATATTTATAATTTTATACTTAATAAGTAATAGCTACTTATTATAATAACTTTTTTTTTGCTAAATTAAGTATATTAAGTAATGTTAATAAGGGTATTTATAAGAATCTTAGTGCGTATTCTGTGTTTATAGCTAAATTTTAATGCAAGGGGGGATAGCTAACCAAAACGACAAGGGGGGGGCATTACTTCGTTTGAGACAGACAGTGGATGGGCCGGTTCCACTGTAGGGACCAAGATAAGCCGCTTATCGCGAGGACCCACCAAAAAGATTCCCCGACTCCAATGGCCGACGCTCTGGAGTACCCTCTGGATGCAGAACCTCTCCGTCCACACGCTGTCGACCTCTACCTCGCCCAAGAGACAACGTCGTTCAGCAATTCAATTCAACCCAGTCAACCCAAGATCTTCGAGTACGGTCAACCAAGATGCCTTCCGCGTCCGTCAAGAACCCAAACTGCATTTCGCGCAACCGGCAGCGAGCCCTCCGCGCCAAAGCCCGCAAGGTGACCCTCCAAGCCACCGACTCTGCCCGCCTGCCCGACCGCGTCGCCAGGGCCGATGCGAAGCGTGGCGCGCGCACCGGTCTCTTGCCCACCAGCGGGCCCAATAGGGCCCTGAGCAGCAAGAAGGCCCGCAAGCTGGAGAAGCAGATGGCCCACGCCATCAGGAGGAAGCGCGAGGAGGAGGAGAAGAAGTCCCAGGTTGAGATGAAGGGTTAGTAGTCCTTGAGTGCTGTGGTGCAAAACACCGAGTGTATAATACAGCATGTGCTGACTGATATGCCCTTGACAGACGCCGAGGACAAGAGCTCCAAGAAGCAGCTCAAGACGGAGAGGAACGCGGCCATGGAGGCGCTGGAGAAGATGGATATCTCATGAGCAAGTGTCCTGCGGGATCACAGACTACGATATCACCCCGTCACACACACGGGACAGAGCTCGTGGGGATACAAGGACCACGCAACATGGGCTCACGCCTGAACAGTGGCAGCGCTTCTTCTTGGTAGCTCAGAGGCTTCTCGACACAGGAATGGCTACACAAGGCACACAAACACCTGAAGACATGTTTGGACACCCAATGCTGGTGTAAGCTGCTGGGAATACTGCGGCACAGCCGAGAGGGGGCTGCTTGGCCTGCCCAGAACTTGATATCACAAGTCGGTAGAAGACTAGCCTGGGCTACGAAGCTGGGCGGAAGTGAGTTAAGGGCCTGGTCCAAGACACAGCCAACGGTTCTGTCAGTCTTTAACTCAAAGATACTACTGCCTTTATGAATACAGTAATGACAACCAAATCGCGACACCGTCTGTACAGAGTGTGGTTACTTGTGCTCCATTGTCCAACACGAAGCCACGCCAACTTCAGGTTACTACAGAACAGGATTACCAGTGAGACACACAGAATAGCTGTGGAATTGCGGTATTAGTTACAAAATTATGTAAGTGGAAAGCATTGGCAAGTTCCAGCAGTCATCATAGATGGGCATCGCATGCCACAGGCGATTCCCCAGCTAGTGCTAGCGTCCGCCCGTTCTAACGAAGAGTAGTGTGTCAGATATCGAGGGAGCTCCAGGTATTCCGGCCCCCGGCTGGTGAGGCATTTCCAACCTGATCGAATACAAGACAGCCATCTGTTATCGTCTCATAAAGAAAAAACCCCAGTGATACCAACCGCCCAAGTCCAGCAACAATGGCCGACACTACCCTCCTCCGCCCCACCGCCAGCCTCGTGGGCATCACGTCCACCCTCATGCTCTCGGGCTTCAACATCAGCACCTCGACACTGTTCGTGCCGCTCATGTACAAGCTCGACAAGCAGACCTCGGCCCGCATGTTCGACAGGCTGTACCACGACGGCATCAAGGTCGTCGTCCCCCTGGCCGCCGCCGGTATCACCTCCTTCGGCTACCTGGCCTATACCTCGCCCTCACCCTCGCCATCCCCTGTCGGCGGCGTTGGCGTTGGCGTTGGCGCTGGCGTCCTGGGAACGGGTCTCAGCAAGAGCCTGGCTTTTTCCGTTGCCGCGGGTCTGGTGGTGGCCACCCTAGCCTGGACGCGCGTGGTGGTGATGCCCGTCAACGAGAGGCTGATCAGCGTCGCCCGCGAGGTCGGCGCCAAGGACAAGGTGTCGGCGGGCGACGTCGAGGCTCTGCTGAGGCGGTGGTGGTGGATGAACTACGTGCGCGGCGCCGGCGCCCTTGCTGCCGGTGTGCTTGCGCTGGCTGCAAGCCTGTGAGCGTTGCTCGGGCAGGCTGACTGTAATGCCATGTTGTCAAGCTGTGTGTGTGTGTATGTGTGCTCTCTACTGGAGGTGTGAGACAAGGGCCAACGGCGGATGTTGATCAGGGTGTTTCCGTCGTGCCATGTTTCGTCTATTTACTACTGCTATCGTGACAATTCCACGCTTCTTAGCTGTTTGTTGCAATGAGCCTACCGGTCTTGGCGAGGCTGGCTCAACACGCCCAACATTTGTGCAGCTGTGTTGAAGCTCGCTCACCAACTCATGGAAATCAATGTACTGAATACCGCCATCTTTCCGCATTGTCTGTCTATTAATCTATTGGTACAGTTCGTGACGTAGCGTGGCATGAGCCGCCTCATTTGGGCCCGTCTACGTCGAATCTTCATCTAAGCCTGGCTGCCAGACCCTCGGTCATTCTTTTGCCTCATGACTGACAATGACTGTGAAAACGACCGACCCACCGACTCCTCCCCTCCCCCATCCGATTCAAACTACGAGTCTGCAGATGCATGGGGTCATCCTCTTTTTCTTTTGTTCGCAGTCATGTTACCCCACGAAAAGATAATCAACCAAGAAAACAGACCAAGTGCAGGGTGTGTGTGTGTGTGTGTGTGTATGACTGCAGCATGCCAACTCCTCTCAACACCCAAGCCAAGTAGCCCAAACGGGACGGACGAGTATGCGACCAGCACACCGTCTAGGCGTCAACCTCGCCGTCAGCAATAGCAAGACGCTGTTTGGCCGTTTTGGCCTTCTTTGAGCCCTTGCCCTTCTTCTTGCCGCTAGCTGCGGGCGCCTCGGTCGGGGTTGCTGTCCCCGACGCCTTGTTGTTGTCGTCAAAGTGCCCCTCGCCTACAAAATGAACAATCGTTAGTTTCAAGAGACTTGCTGATGACAGAGGCCAAACAGATTGCTCACCTTCGTGATACATGTCGTCCAGAGAGACGGCATCCTTCTTCTTCCTGCCGCCCTTCCCTCTTCTTCTCGTACTCGCCGCTGGCCATGAGCTCCTGCTCGCGACGCTCGATCATCTTCTCCACCGCGTCATCGTCATCAGCGAGCCACATGGCAATGTCCTTGTTGCGGTTCTCCGTCGTCCTACGACCCGAGAAGTCGACACCAGCACCAGTGCCACCTCCTGATATGACAACGCGCTGCACTTCTTCCTTCTGCAGAGCCCGCTTGCGGATTCGCTCCTCAATCGTGCCACGGGTGATGAGGCGGTACACCGTGACCTGCCTGGTCTGACCGAGACGGTGGGCGCGATCCATGGCCTGCGAGTCGATGGTCGGGTTCCAATCCGAGTCGTAGAAGATGACCGTGTCCGCAGACGTCAGGTTGATGCCGAGACCACCGGCGCGGGTGGACAGCAGGAAGATGAAGATCTCGGGCCGGGTCTGGAAGTCATGCACCGTGTCACGCCTGTCCTCGAGCTTGGTCGAGCCGTCGAGACGGCAGAACTTGTAGTTGCGGTACATCAGATACTCCTCGATCAAATCGATCATGCGCGTCATCTGGAAGTACAGGAGCACGCGGTGGCCTTGCTCCTTGAGCTTGAAGAGCAGCTCATCCAGCTTGGCAAGCTTGCCGGAATCCGTGACGAAGCGCCGCATTGACGGCACGGCAACATTTGTGAAGCGCTTCTTCTCGTTGTCTGGGGACGGCAACAGCCCGTACACGGGCATGCTCTCGCTGGGGATCTTCTGCGTGATGAAGGCCTTCTGCTCCTCGAAGTTGGGCTCGTACAGTGCCCTGCGCATCGGGATATTGAACAGGGTGTCTTCCCGTTCGATGTTGGCCCCGCGGCTGTTGCAGACCACCTCGATCGGTGGCGCGGCTGCCCCAGGCCGACCAGCTGGCTCGAGGTGGCCAAACCCGGCGTCATGGTATGTCTCTCGAGCCACGTTCACGAGGCTGCTCATGACGCCCTTGTCCGTGATGTCGGCCAGCGCTTTGCGGTCGTTTCGCTGCTTGACCTGAAACAGTGCGTGGGCAGGGGTATAGCCTCGGTCCTCTTGCTCGTCGTAGGCGACATCCATGTACGACAACCGGTTCTTCCGCCTCGACAGCTCGACAGCACGGGCGAACACATCCTGATGGCTTGCGTTGTACACCTCTTGAGGGCTTGTGTCGGCAAAGCGCAGCCACGAGAACGAGTCACTGCCGCCGAGGCTCTCGCGAACATTGTCGGGTGTCCATATGTTCATCATGTGTTGCAGGTACTTGTTGCGGAACCCAGCCTTCTGGTTATCGCCGCCGGCCTTGTACAGCCTGCCACCGTCTCGCCAGACAAGCTTGGGCAGCTCATAGTCGATCAAGCTTCGCGTCGAGTACGCCACCGGCACATTGTTTCCCTCGCGGATGAACGAGGCGGTCTCGGCAAAATAGCCGGTGAAGAACGGTGATGTTGTTTCGGCACGTTCGAAGAGGTCGGGGTGGTTGCAGACCTTGCGGAACTGCATGACGAGGTTCATCAGCGTGCCAGAGTCTGTGTCATCGCCAGTGGTTGCCTTTTCAATGAGGTCCATGATGCTGATCTGGTTGCGCAGGTTACTGTAGTAAGCGCGCTGACGATATGTGAGGTCGCAGAAGACATCCGTCTCAATCTTGTCACCAAGTTCCTTCTGGACATGCTTCTTCACGCGACGAAGCATGAAAGGCTTCAGGATCATGTGCAGACGTTTGAGCTGGTCTTCGTTGAGCTTCGTGTTGCTCTGCGCGTGAGACTCGATGTCCTTGGAGAACCATTCGCTGAACTCGTCATGTGAGTCGAACAGCGACGGCATGATGAAGTGCAGCAGGGCCCAGAGCTCCTGCATATTGTTCTGAATGGGGGTGCCAGTCAGCAGCAGACGGTTCCGGCAGTGGAAACCCAGCAGGCACTTCCACCGGGAGCTCTGGGAGCTCTTGATGGCCTGGGCCTCGTCGAGGATCATGTACTGCCACTTCATCTTCTGGAAGTAAGCAACGTCAGACACGACTAGCTGGTAGGACGTGACCATGACATGGAAGCTGGCATCCTTCTTGTACGTGTTGTGCCTGCGGTCCCAAAACTTCCGAAGAGTCTTCCGGTCCCCTGCGGTGCCCCAGTACGGGAGAATTTTGAACTCGGGCACGAACTTGCGAAGCTCTTGCTCCCAGTTGTGGAGTCGACGCCGGGGCAACGACCAGGTATGGGCCCCATATGTCATACTTCTCCGCCAGATAAGCCATGACCGAGATTGACTGCACTGTCTTGCCGAGGCCCATTTCGTCGGCCAGGATGCCGTTGATGCCTTGCTCGTACAGGTTGGCCAGCCAGTTGAGGCCTTTCAGCTGGTACTCCTTGAGCTGAGCATTGAGTAGCTTGGGCTGCTCAATCTCGACCTCGCCCATTCCCGTTGGGTTCTGGAAGTTCATCTCCCCGTCCTCGTCAGGCTCGTCGTCCTTGTTGAAATCCCTGGCTTTCTGCTGAGCTTCTGCGAGAGCGTGCGCAGCATTGGCCTTCGCGATCTCCTTGAGCTTTTCTTCGTCCTCCTCCTCGAAGGTGAGGTTCTCGAACCTAGTGACCTTCACCCCCGACGTGGCAGTGCCGTCATCGTCAACGTCGACCGCATTGGGATCTGGAGCGGCGTCCTCGGTGGCGATGTCGGGATTGTCTGTGCTGCGCTCGACCTCGTGTGTCTTGATCTTCTTCCCGATAAAGTGCGAGTACAGCTCCGTCTGGGAAATGAGGAAGTTGAGCTTCCGCTTCTGCCGGGCGGCCTCTCGGTCTGCTTCCTGCTTGCGGGCGTTCTCGAGCTCCTGCCTCTCGGCAGCCTTGCGCAGGTCTCGCTCCTCGCGCTCGTTGCGCTTCCAGAAGGTCATCATGTCACGCATGACGCGCTTGGCGCGAGCCTGCAGGTCCTTGGTCCCCTTGTTGGTCCGCATCTGCCACCTCTTGGCCTCCTTGGACGCGAGAATAGCCGTTTTCTTGAGGTTGGAGGCCTTGGTGCCATACGACTCAGTTGCGAGCCTGTAGACCTTGTTGACGTCCTTGCGGGCAAGATCTCGCCAGATCTGGTCGTAGATCTGGTTGAAGCCCTTGGTCTGGAACTTGGTCTCGAGGGGGTCCTTGGGCTCCTCGACAACCTTCTCCTTCTCCTTGGGCTCCTTTGGCTCGACGACCTCTGGGTCCTGAACGGCGTCTTCCTTCGGGGCCTTGTCCTTCTTGAGCCTGATGCGGATCTGTTTTGTCTCCTCCTTGGTCGGCAGCGCCTCACCGGCGTCCAAGGCAGCCTGGGCAGCCAGCGCACTATCCTTCTCGGCCTGTTTCTGCTCCTTTGACTTCTTCGGTCGCGGACCGCCTCGAGCTTTGCCCTTGCCCTTGCCGGGCTCCATGTCGCTCGCCTGGAATGTCGACATGATGCCGCCCTCAAGGTTGACCTCAATCGGAGGAAGGTTCCGCGCTGGTCCCTTGATGCCCTTTTGCAGGATGAGCTTCGTCTGCTGTGCCTTTTTGTTGGCGCGCTCGGCCTCACGGAGGTGCTTGATGCGCTCCGCTTCGTCGCCGGCCAGCTCAGCAGCCTGGGCCTTGGCGAGGGCCGTTTCCTTCTGCTCGATGGTGACCGCCATAGACTTCTCGCGTCGGCGCTTGCGTTGCATGTCCTTCTTTCGCTCCTTCTCGGCGATGACCTCTTGGTCGCGCACCTTCTGCAGCGCGTCATCGTAGTACATGTCGTCGTACCTGCGCTTGCCCAGGTCTGTGTGCAGGCTCAGGTGCAGGATGCTGTCCCTGGCCAGGTTGGACCTGCGTGAGGAGTGAAGCCTATCCTCCCGACCCTCCATGGCACGCCGCCGTCTCTGTGCCCGCTGGCGCCAGACAAACCGCTCCTCGTCCGCATCAAACCCTTCGGCCTCGATGGGGTCGACATCCATCTGGTCCATCTGGTCCTTGATCTTCTTCTCCTTGCTCGCGGAAAAGCCGCCTACCTTAGGCTGGCCGTTTGCCGTACGCTTTGCAGGGACGCGGGCCGCGACGGGCGACTCCTTCTCCTTGTGGGAAGACGATCGCCTGGAGCTCCCCTTGGACGAGGGCTCGGAGTTCTTAATGTCCGACACGCGGGGCTGCCTGGGCTTCCTGGCGGGCTTCTTCCGCTCAATCTTCTCTGGCTCTTCTGACTTCTCCTCCTTAACAGCAGGCTCCGAAATGCTGGCCGGGGGTGATGGATCCCGTGGCCTCAGATCGGTTTCTGCACTGGAGAGGATGTTGTCGAAGGACATGACGTTCCGGCTGGGAGTCTGGAGCGAATAACAGTCAGACCGCGTAGGGTATGGAGAGGGCGGCAAGGTTTCCCTGGATTGCTTACACTTGTGGGGGGAGCGGGTGCTTGGAGCACAGAAGGAGCAGGTGGCGAGTGTTGCACCGGGTTGCCATTTGAAGTGGTGCCGGCTGACAGCGCAGACTGTAACACATTGGGCGATGCCATCGCGCGCGCTCCAGCGGGCGGGCTGATGGATCCTGCAGCTGGATGGGAATGAGAAACCGGGCTCCGCGGCGGGAAGGTTGCAGCGACAGGAGAAGTGTAGCTGCCCTTGTAATAAGGAGAACGATCGACGGATGGCTGTGGGGGATAGTCGTAGTCCCTGTTCAGTGGATCGCGAGGCTGCAAAGGGCGGAGTAAGATTGGTTAGCAAATGCCCGCGGGTGATGGAGGTACAAAGTGGGAAAAGGGTCTGGCGTGCAGGTTGACAAAGACGATGGTGGATGGATCACGACGTCAAAGACGGGGTGCTGGGATTTTTTTTTCTTGCCTTTTGGGAGCGGGAAGAATTGACGGGTTTGGGTGATTTGACGAAGGATGGTCTTGTGATGAACAGGATGGACCACTTGGCCCAGCGGCATTGCTGGTCAGAGTTGCCAACATGGCGCGGTTGTGGAGGGGCGTGGTTTGGCGTGTGTCGGACGCATTGGCACCCGTCAAAAAGAAAAGCGTTGCCGGCCACGACCATGCAAGCTGCAAGCAGCAAGCATTCACGCAGCCAGGCAGCCAGACTTGATTGCTCGATGGGCTTGCTTGGATACTTGAATTTCTGGATTCTTGGGGGCAGGTCTTGCTTACCTTTGATGCTGACGATGCCGATGAAGCCTGGGTCGCGTTATGCCAGGCTGAGCCGGAGTCGCTCACCCTCCGGTCGCTGGTGGAGGTAGTGGTGTCGGTAGTAGGGTCGTAGAAGCTCCCGGCCGTCTTCTCGCGCGGAGAGTCGCGATGGTCGCGCATGTCGTGGGGATAAAAGACGGGCGGCGCGTGCAGGGGCGACCGAGGAGGTGCGATGCTTGATGGGTGGACTGGTGGGGGGAGGGATGGCGGCGCAGCCGAGGACGTCAGGAACGGGTTGTGCAGAAGCGAGCGGGTGCCCGAGCCGGTGCCATTTGTGCTGGTGCTGGTGCTGGCGTTGGTGTTTGCGGCGGCGCTGGCGGAGGGCGCTGACGAGGGAGAGGCAGAGCTGGAGCCCGGGAAGTGAGGCGGCGCCGCGTGGTGGAAGTCGGGCTGGGTTGGTGATCGCAGACTAAACGAGTGCCGTGGCGGCGGTTGGTGTGGATGTTGCTGCTGCTGTCCGGGTGCATGCGAGCCTGGTCCAGGTGGCGGGTTGGTGTTGTTGTCGCCCTGCTGGACCGGATTCAGAATGTCGCGGTGTCGCCTCTCGCTGCCGCGTTCCCGCTCTCGTTCCCGCTCACGGTCACGGTCGCGTTGCTGGTCTTCGTAGTCGTGCAGGCTGGGCGGTCTCTGCAGCACCGTCGAGTGGAAATTTGACTCCATCTTGACCTCAGGTGGCTGCGGCTCCCGCTCCCTTTTCGCTGGCTGCGATCGGCCTGGCTGTGTTATCGACCCTTCCGTCGCCCTGCTCTAGAGAGCCGGCACCAGATCTCTCCTATCTTGTCTTTTCTTGGGATGCCAGGGACAACCCATCCGCACCGTGTTGTGGGCAAGTCAACGAGGTGACGGGGGATGCAGTTGGGCTAGGCTCGAGATCGACTTGGTCGTGGTGTGTGGAGGGGATGATTGTCCGAGATGGGCCACGGGCGGGCAACCTTGCCAATCGTGATGTATCACTGGTTGATGGACAGACTGGCTGGCTGGCTGACGGACTGACGGACTGTCTGCCTGCAAGACGGGGGGAATGGGCGCTTGGGATTAGAAGATGCTTGGTTGAGGCAATGCCAAGCAGCGTGTCGAAGACGACTAACGGTGGTCGACAGGCAGGAGTATGGACTCAGCCGGCACGTTGATGGAAGGCGATGGATGGATGGGGAAGTATCGCGGGTGGGCGGAGCTTGGTGTTGACGAGATGTTGCGGCGTGGGCGGGACCGTCGGTTCGGTTCGGCGTGGTGGAGGAGGAGGGATGGGGATGGGATGGGATGAGATGGGTCGGGTCAGATCACCTCTTGTCGATTGGTGTCGAGTCGACCCGAGTCGAGTCGTGTGTGTGCGTGGATATGGGTGTGGGTGTGTGTGCACGAGGGAGGAGGATCTCGTGCGGCTAGCGCAGAATCGAGAATCGAGAATCGCAATCGATCTCGGTGTCTGGGTCTGGTCCTGTCTTGTCTTGCCTTTGCCTTTGCAGGGCTGGGCCCGAAATCTCGCCGGCCCCGGGTGCCTGTGTGCGAACGAGCGGACGGGTGGACCAGCAAGACTGCCGGTAAGGAATAAGCAACCACGAGAGCAAGCTCTTGTTGTTCTTTTCTCTTCCCCTTCCTCGCTCCCTCGTCTTTTGGTTTATGGCCTTGCCTGCGGTGACGTGCTGCTAGATATCAGAGCGGCAACACGGCCAACCGTGACATGTCAATGCCAGTTGTCACTACCGAGCGCCCACGAACAAGACTACTGCCGGCTGAGCTAACGGAGCTGGGCTGAGCTGCAGCAGAGTTTCTAGTCTCGCGCTGAGGCAATTATACGAAACGCGGCAGTGTTGGGGTCTCGAGGGCAGCACCACTGCCAGAGGCATCAAGATAGACCACAAGCCCAGGCGAAGGACGGGATGGTCGAGCTGATGAGGAACGTGTCGGGTGGGGTGCAGGATGGGGGATGGGGTTAGCGGGTGCTGACAGCCGTCGGTGGCGACGATGCCGTCTGCGCCTGTTGGCTGGTGCGCTGGTGTTGATTATTGATGCTGGTGAGAACGGTCCGGCAACGGATCATGATGCACCACCACGAGTGACAGCCACTACAGGATAGCTACGGGACACAAGACACGGCAAAGGGGCACTCGAGATGCTCTAGACGGGGCTGAAGGGCTGATGATTGACTGAATGACTGATTGTTGGGATTCGCTGATCACCCTCTACTCCGCAACTGTCTGACTGTCTGGCTGCTGTGTGTCTTGTCTATCTTTTCCCATGGGCAGACAAAGTCTCCCGTCCCCAGTCTTGTCGGCCAGCATCTGATCGGGTCCCAGAGGTCCTGGTGGGGACGGGGAACGGTACGCTAGGCCGGAAAGGAGCTAGACCGTGGCCCAAGCTGAGGCTCACTCCCCAAAAAGCCAGACAGCCCAGACCAGCCTGCCAGCACTGACTGGCCTGGCCAGGGACCGGGGACAGGGACACCCAGCCCTGCCAGGGGCACAGGCACTCTGCCACTCGGACCCGGTATCTTACCTAGGTAGGTACTGTTACCTAGGTTGGTAGGGAGGTAGATATCACACATGCCTACCTAGTGCAACAGAAATACCGACCAATGCTGACCGGCTGTGTTACTGAGAACCACGTCCTGCTGCTACTCAAGTCATTCTTTGCATTCCAGAACATAGATTCGGAGACACCTTCTGTGGTGAGAACTTCTATTTCAAATTTGAAACGCCTGCCCATACCGCAACTGGAGGCCGCCTCAAGCTGTCCTCGCACTGCTTCTCTGTTTTGCAGCCGGACGCCCCTCGGCCTCCTTGTTCCTATGCAGAACATCCATCCCTATGCCTCCTTGGGCCAGTCTCCCCTACTCTGGAGAGGGCCATCCAGTGCATCAGCCATTCTATCGAGGGGCCCTTGGGATGCTTGCATGCATGCACAACTTCTATACCCGCCCCAACAAAGAAAAAATGGCCGCTCTTCTGTCTCCTGTACGACACCCCTTTGCACATTTGCCGGCCCACGTCCACGCCTGACTATGCTCAGACCGCACCGGCTGCCAGCATCTTCTTGCGCAGGTAGTTCTTGTACTGCCCGATCGAGCCATCCCATGGCTTAATGGTCTTGTTCTCGCACACCAGGATCTGCTTTGCAATCTTGTCCAACAATCTGTCACAGAGGGTCAGCTAAATGTTGCGCAAGTCCAAAAATGGGCCGGTATGGGTGCGCGCTTACCTGAAATCGTGACTGACGACGATGACACCACCGGTGAAGGCGTTGATAGCGTCCGCCAGACTGTCAATGGTCGGGATATCCAGACCGTTGGTCGGCTCGTCGAGAAGGATCATGTTGGGGCTCTCGATGGCCAGCAGGGCGAACACGATACGGCTCTTCTGCCCCTCGGACAGCGTGCCGATCAGCGCCGTCTGTGACTCCCCAGACAGGCCGTACTTGCCGAGCTGCTGGCGCCAGTACTGGTAGTCCTGCGACCGGTCCGGGTACTTGTCTCGTACGAAGTCGAGCGACGACTTGGTCAGGTCCAGCTGCTCGGCCGAGTGCTGCGAGTACATGCCCAGCTTCAGATGCGTGTGCCTGCTCACGTTGCCTGCCGTCGGGGAGAGCTTGCCGGTCATGAGACGGAGCAGTGTCGACTTGCCCACGCCGTTGGGGCCGACCAGCGCCGTCCGCGAGTCCATGTCGAAGCCGAGGTCGATGTTGCGGTAAAGGTCGTCCTTGGGGTCGCCCGAGTACGAGAAGGTGACGTCGTCAAAGGACAGGACGGGAGGGGGCAGCTTCTCGACGTCTGCAAAGCGGAAACTGAAGACTCGATCCGGGATGACAGGCTGGATGAAGCCGTCGGCCTCCATCTTGTCCAGGATCTTCTGTCGGGACTTGGCCTGCCTCACCAGGTTGGCGTAGGTACCGGCACTGGCGATGAACTTCTTGATGTGGACGATCTCATCCTGCTGCTTCTGGTAGGCCTTCATCTGGTTCGTGTCCTGCTCACTCTTGGTCTTGGCGTATGAGTCGTAGTTACCACCGTAGTAGAAGAGGTTCTTTTCCCGCATGTCGATCATGTTGGTGCACACGCCGTTGAGGAAATCCATCGAGTGGGAGACGAGCACCAGTGTGCGCTCCCACTTCTTCAGGTACTCCTCGAGCCACACACAAGCCTCGAGATCCAAATGGGCAGTTGGGTCGTCGAGAAGCAGGAGGGTGGGCTTGACAAACAGGGCCTTGGCGAGGGCGACACGCATCCTCCAGCCACCAGACATGTCCTTTGTCTTCTTGTTAATGGTGGTCTTGTTGAAGCCCAGACCCGTCAGGATGAGCGAGGCACGGGTGGCGAAGGTCGAGGGGTCCATCTTGTCCATGTGCTATGGTGATACGCATGTCAGTCAGATGCCGAGCTCAGTAACCTGCAGGGCGGCAGGGCGGCCGGGCAGCCGAGGAGAGAGGGGGAGAGGGGGGGATGGGGAATGAGGCGGTAACGCACATCGTAGAGGTCCATCAGGACCTGGCTGTCGGGTCCCTCGGTCTCGAGGAGCTCCTCAGCAACGTTCTCCAGGCGGGCCATCTCGTTCTCGGCCTCCTTGACAACCCACTCGAGGGCGCCAAGCTCGGTGGGCGGGGCGCCCTCGTTGAGCAGGTAGATGTCGACATGGGGCGGAATGGGGAACTCGCGTGCGGCGATGGCCTTGAGAAGGGTACTCTTGCCGCAACCGTTCTCGCCCAGGAGGCCGTAGCGGCGACCAAAGTTGAGCTCGAGGGTGCTGTCGGTGATGAGGACACGGCCGTGGAAGACCAGGGAGACGGAGGTGATCTTGACGTCGCGGCTGGAGGCGACGGAGGAGAGGACGCCGGTGGTGACACGGTCAGAGATACCGTACTTGTCCATCTGCTCGGTAAGGCGCTGGACCTCGCCCATCTTGGAGGAGGAGGTGGCGGGCTCATCAGCCTCGATGGGGTTGCCGTTGGCGTCGAACTGTTGTGGGGGGGTTTCATCGCCGTTGACAGAGCCGGCGGCGCTGGCATTCTTGGAACCGGCCTTGGACCTGGAAGCAACCGTCTTCTTGGCCTTGCCCTCGGCGGCCTTCTTGGCCAGTCTCTTCTCCTTGGATGACGATATCATCTTGAATAGGGAGTACCGTGCCTGGGCACTCGGGGGTATCAGATAAAGAATGAGATGGGGTGGTGGAAGGAGGGGTGAAGGAAAGGGAAAAGGTATTGTGGTTTGGACTGGACCCTTTGTAAAACAATGAGAACAAGTGCAGGCCAAGGTCGGAAGAAAAAAGATGCCCACGGCTGGTGGTGGGATCGGGGTTTGGGAGAGGAAGCAAATCAAAATCAAGCGCAGAGCCAGAGCCAGAGGTGGGGAGGGGCAAATGTGAGTAAGAGGGGAGGAACAGTCTGCCAGTCCCGCCTGGGTCACAGTGGTAAGGATTCACAGGTTGGGTCTGTCCAAGGACACACTGACCGAGTTGGGTTGTTGGTTGGTGGGGTCTGGCTTCTGAAATTTCTGACCAGGCTGATTCCTCTCACTGCCACAACCACGGCCACCGCTTTCTGGGACGGATGACATGGCCGATAAGCGATAGCGGCCTAAGGCAACAGTTTTCTTCCCATGCAGACAGTCAGTCGCCAGGTGCACATTTCTGCTCGCACTGACGCATGCAGAAACCTGACGTCACCCCAATGTCAGATAATCTTGCTCGAGGTCCATTGGCTGGCCGCAACGTGTATCGATTACGACTCGGGGCCTCCTCGTCTTGTGGTCTCCGTTCATGACTGCTCAGAATGTCCGCATCCCGGACAAGGCAGCGACGAAAATTACTATGTGTACAGATAGTACATGTATCATTAATCCCAATAGATCCCTGTGAAAATGCCACGGATTGAACCAGATGCAGACTCCTGAAAACTCCATGCAGATGCAACCTCCCTCTTCCGTCCAAGCCCCAGGCCATCGCCTCGCAGGACATGTCCTGCGAATCCTACACCACTCCGGAGCCACATATATGGTGACCACACCCACGTTTCCTGGAATCGCACACGTGCGCGTGTCGCAGTCCGAGGGGATTCAGCCCCACTGCTGCCGCTCCTGAGGGTGGTGGCGGATATTCTAGGTTATTGCGTCCAGAATGTCCCTTGCGCTCATGCAGCCAGAGCTATCGAGCCGCTGTTGAAGCCAACGATACCCTCGGCCAGGCATGTCTTTGAGGGGCCCTGCGACGATATTGCTATCCGCCTGCCAATGACTCCATCACCGCCGACCTCGAGCAGCAGCTGCTGCCCTAATCTCGACTCCAGCGGGCTGGGTTCCATGATATCGGGACGCAAGGTCATTGGGAGGGTGAAACTTTCAATCTGCTCGCATTCTGAGACAGGCACTGTCAAGTCGCCGGTAGAGCTGAGGTCCAGAATTAGCACCCAGTGCAGGTTCGGGAGATATCGCCAAGGACTTCATTGCTCGCTTACAATATGGTCAACGTCAAGTCGTGCCGGATGTGCTGGCCCTGCGCTGGTATGAACTTCACATGGGTGGCCAGCGTGCTCTTGGAATCCACGTTGTTGAAGAACATAATCCGGCCAGAGAGGTCTTGCTCCAGGCCAGACCGATCGCTCACCACTGCGAGGGCTCCGAAGCGCCGAGGGTCGTGAAGGTCTTTCTCGCTTCCTCCGCACATGGTCAACAACTTCTTTCGCGGCAAGAGTGCAGGTAGTCAGGAGGGGGTGTCTGGTGTGTGCCGAGGCGGTCTCGTTCGTGTCAAGAGGCAGGCGGTCTTGACGGAGAACACCAGTAAATGTGTCTGATGGGACATGTCGGCAGTTTATATCCCACTCCCCATTCACTAGAAAGGGGTGAGAAAAGGGCCTGGCCGCGTCCCGAAGACGCGGCATGTGGAAACTGCCTCATTGATAGCAATCACGGGCGGGTGACCCATGGACTGAAGCGGTCAGGAGTGGCCAGGCCATCAGGGTTCCTTGTGCCATCCACATGTCTACACAGCAGTCGACTCGGTGTCAAGTTGGACACGAACCAATCAAGAACGGTAAAACATGCGCAGTCACAACAGCTGCAGACAAGGCCTACTTGACCACCTGGACAGCTAGCTGGTCAGTCCTGAAATCTGGCCCTGTGGTAGAAGCCAAGATGCGAGCCGGACTCGCAGAGGTGAGCATGTTTTTTGAGCAAGTTTCGGGAGGGCAATAATGGACAAAGGGGTCAGGCTGCAGCTGACAGAGCTGACAGATAGTAGCTACCTCTGGTTGTCAGGGCTTAAGGGCCAGGTGCTAGGTACTGCTTTAGCACTTAGACAAATTTGGGTCGTCCAGCACGAACTCTCCATTGTAACCGTCGTACTGGCGGACTGAAGAGCACATGACAACGAACGACACGAGCTTGTCTTGGAACGATTCAAGGACCGTCGGACATATCTATGATCTGCCAAAACAAATGGCCCATTCTTCGTATCATCGTTGCCACCACTGGTCCATCAGTTGATGACGGCTGACTCTTTCTCTAGTCAACGCACAACTCAGAAGCTAGAGAGGCTCGACATGTCCCAAAACTCGCGGGTCTACAGCGGACGCCGTGGCTTATATTGCTCGATATTGCCCATCCGAGGTCGCCCTGGAGCTGCCCTATCACTGCCTTGTCCGGCGTTCCAGGGACTGGGTCATTTGCAGCCGGAATCTCGGTTCTGGCAGCCTCAGGAATCGACGCTGAGGTCCGTCGTTCCACCTCCGAGCATTGCTAGTATATCAACGCCACAGGGTCACTGGCTTTGATGCAGTGTCAAATTTAGAGGTAGCCTACACACCTCTCATGGCCCGAGAAAGCACTCCTCAGCAGAGCTACGATGGTCAATACCCGGGGATCGTGGTACAGTACGAGTCTCGGACAGACCCACGCTTGTGCTATGCTGATGGTAGCCGAACCCCGTGAACAGCATCCCATGGTCTTGAGCCCGGCATCTCGAGACAGATCTCAAAGCCCCATCGCCGCCACAAACCTGGGCGTGTCCACAGCCACCTGGCAGCTGCAGTGCAAGTCAGGCAGATCGCACCGCATCACAACAGGTGCTCAACTCAACGGCGAACTTCATTCTTCAAAGAAAAAACAATGACTTCAGGAATACCTCAATGCCTAGGTGGTGCTTTGTCGCGCAACCGGAAGCATCGTGTGCTCTGTTAGCCAAGACCGGGAAGCTGGGCGGCCTTCTAAAACCTGCAGCGAGCCTTGCCCACAATGCCCACCTGGCCCAGGACTCTTGGTATAACTGGCTACCTAGGCAGTGTGCAGTCCTCGGCGATCCGTAACCGGGTGTGAGGGCAGTGATATCTCCGACAGGCAGGCAATGGCTCATGCCATCTGGGTCTCAGAATGGCTCATTTGTGGCCATCTCGTGGGGGTGATTCCAACGGCAAAGCGGCATATTGGAAAACGTCTGGAAGGGTAGGAAGTGATAGGCCGGGAAACAAAGGACCGCCGCCACCCAGATTACTTTGTAAGTGCTCGAGGCGTCACTTTGAGTCCGGGTCGCTTGTGAGATTTGTGGCGTTCGGAGCTGAGTATCATTGTGGGACTGGCATCCATTGTCACGGTGAAACATCTCGGTCGACCCAGCAATAGTCAGCACGGCGGTTTTCCGTCGCTTCCAGATGAGCTGGTGGACGGCTTGCACATGGCAGAGGACATGCACGTGTGTTAATTACACCTCACCTGCCCATGTCGCAGTTTTACAGACCCCCAAGCCCCGCCGTCCAACTCACTATCCAGGGTTAGTTCCGCCATTGCTTTTGATATCCATGGGAAGCCCTTTAGTCGTTTTTGAAACACCCAGATGCTAACTGAAATCAGGTATCGTTGAGAGGCACGAATTAGGTGCAGGCTCTCAGGACTCAACCAACCATCCAACCAACCAACAAATTCAACCTACCCACGTACTGGTCGAACATGAGCGGTCCGAGAGATGTCTCTCGGCGACGGACTCTGGATCCAAATTCTGGCCGAGGGAGAGACATCCGAGACGTAGACTGCGACCCAGCTTCTCATTGGTGGACAAGGGGGCGAGACTGCGTGTATTGCTTGTGCGACGAGCTGAAAGTAGCAGGTGCATAGGTGGCAGTCCACTCGCACGACCACTGCTGTTCCTGCATTTGACATCGATCCACCTCTGCTCCTGGCTGCATGTCTCTGCCAGTCGGCGTGAGCCGGATTAGACCCATGTTTCAGCCGAATCTCGGCCATGAGACATGTTTGTTTGACAAGCACGCTTGCGAGGCGTTCGAGAACGGTTTTTAACAACGCCCACGAGCATGTCTTTCCTCTCAACCTCGCAGGCTTCCACGCCAACACTTGTAATCGACAGTCGCTCTCTGATTCGGCCGGCCTATTACAGTTGCATTGAATCTGACCCATGAGCTACCAATGAGCCACTGTCCGCCAGGAGCTGCCTTGCGTAGTATCCAGCGATAATACGGCTATTCAGCATCTGGTCCACCGGTTGCGAGCCACGCGTGTCGGTCAAAAACACCCAACCAAGCCAAAATTGTGGGTGGAAGACGAAGTACCGAAAGATCAACAAGACTAGGCATCGTATGCGGGAAGTAAGCAGCCATCAAAGGGTGAGTGATCCAGCGGGCGACCTCTAAATGCGCCGGTGGTCCTCTGAATCAATCATTGCTTTGGCAGGACTAGAAGCAGGGCTCCGTGCGATGTAACATGCATATTGACATCTGTGTAGACGATTCCATGTCGCTGCGATGGCGGTAGCACAAGGCTAAGGCATGCGGCAGCCCGCATAGATTAGCTCCTACAGGCACATTGCATCTGCATCTGCAAGGCACGCAGGTCACCCCCATCGTTTGCGTCCTCTCCACGATCTGGACCATGGCATGCTCCCCTGCTGGAGGTAGTCTATCGGGGAGAGAGCTGCATGGATTGTATTGACTGTCTCGCTAACATGCCGTGGTGCAACAGCGCCCCGGATGGCGAACAAGTGCAGGTTCTCGGCCACAAGTCTCCCTGGCCCACAAAAGAGCTGGCTTGAGAGCATGCGGCGACCCATCAGAATATCCCAGGAAACGCCTCCCAGGGGAGAGCCACCGGGAACACGCACACAGCTGTCCTCAACCCGGGGCTTTCTCACTTCAGAGTATGCCTCCACGGGTTATCAAGGGCCTGTCGCCGAAGGGCGGCGGACAAACGACACGAGCAACGCACGCTTCTGAGGTCCATTCTGGGATCCCCCGTATGAGTTTCGTTTGCCGAATAATATCCGGCCCTTCCGAAGCCATCACTGGGACTGGCTGATCCATCTCGAGGGCGCTTCGCAGGCAGCCGCCACGTTCTTATTTCTGACGTCCCTTGCCGTCCTCGGTGGACTACTGATGTAACTTGCAGTCCGCCCGGGCCGAGCGTCTCTGTATCTGCATCTATAGAGCGAGGGCTCTATTTTCTGGTATGCGTGCCTCATGAGCAGCGATGCTGGACTCTGTGTGACTCTTATGGTAGCTCGAGGCTGTTGTGTCATCCTAGGGCTTGAAGCGTATGGGAGCTGACTATCTGGTATCTCACAGAAAAGCCTCCTGCAACTTTTGTGACCGAGTATTGGCGATCAATCGCGCCCGTGGCTCAACCCGGCTTGGACCAGGGTCGGTCGGTGCCTATTGCTTCTGCATGTGGCCTCCCCCCAGCGATGTCATCCGGGGACCGAAACAAGGACATGGGAAAAGTAGTCGCGCCCTGCCTCTCGACATTGAGATCCGCCACCTTGGCGGAAGGGTACATGCAGTCGTACCCGATCAACCTGCGGAGAAATCTGTGCGGGAGTGGACCGCCGCAACAGACAGCCAGTCGAGTATGTTGCTATCCGGGAGGGGGGCCCAGGCCTCGAATAGTAGTCACGGATCTAGTGTACCTTCGTTGGGTCTTGGAATGTCCGTGCTGGTCCCGGTGGATACGAGGGAAGCAAGGCGTGGTGCGATTCTCACTGCTTTTGATATTCCGTAGATATAAAGTCTACTTGCTCACTCTTGGTGGAGGTCAGTCTTTCCCTCGGATCCCCAGGCTTCCAGTACTCCTGAGCTTCTTTCGGCCCTTGTCGAGGCTTGACACTCGTTTATTTCTTTTCACCTCCATCCAGTCCTTCATTCAGAATACACGCCAAGCTGCCGTCGAGAATGGGTGCGATACTTCGTCTTGCTCTCTTGAGCATTGGGTGAGGATTCCAACCAACTCCTGCGCACCCGAGATCTCGGGCCCGTCGAGACATGACTGACACATGGAATCAGGGCAGTTCAGGTTCTCGGCTATGAGGGAAGAAGTCCCCAGCCCAAGAACATCAAGCACAGGCAGTACCAGTACGTCACGACTGTCACAGAGACACTGGTGGTGAAAGATCCTCCCACCACGGTGACCGTCTCTATCGAAGCCCCCTGCGCCCCGTCGTCGTCCAGCACATGGGGCCTGTCCTCATATCTGCCCGGCACCGGCACCGGTGGCCTATCCTCATCGACTTCTGCACCATACGGCAACGGAACTTCCTCGGCTACGTCTGCTCCAGGAACGGGATCGGTGCCTCTGTCTACCGGCGTCTCGTCGACGGATCCCATCTCAGCCTCTACATCAAAGCCTACTGGTACCGGCGGCACCGGGCTGCCCCCTCCCCCGTACACCTCTGGTATCTACACCAACGCATCCTCCGCCGATCCCACCTGGTCATCGACAACATCCGGAGGCTATGGGACGGGCACAGCGCCGCCAGCGTCCTCATCAGTAGCCCCCACCAACTCGTCAGCCACGGCACCGGCCACATCCTCGGGAACAGGCTCCAGCGGCACGGGCACCGGCTACCCAGGTGTCTCGAGCTCCTCTGCCGGGGTCTATCCTAACACGACAACACCGCTGACCTGGCCCACGACTGGGTGGTCTGCCACCGGCTCTGCGCCTTCGTCGTCGCCCACCTCGAACACCACGTGGGCCCCTTGTGGGTACGGCGACGACGGTTGTGATGCGACCATCACGTCGACCATCACACGGAGTTCAACAGTCACAATTGATCCCAACTCCACCGTCACATCAGTCGGACCGATTGGAGGCTCCAGCACTGGGGCCGTGTCTACCTCGAACGGCACTCACACGTACAGCACCACGTCCGCTCCTTTGTCAACAGGAGGCACCACTAGTGATATCTCATCCTCGGCCACCGGGACTGGGCCATACGGCAACTCATCGAGCAGCACGTCAAGCGAGGCGATAACGAGGACTGTGACCTACACTCACACAATCTCTACATCCAGCAGCACGGGGGTTTACTCCTCGAGCGCCGTGACCAGTCCTGTTAGTGTCTCGAGCAGCCTCAGCTCGTCCGGGGTGAGCAACAGCACTGCCGCGGCGACCGCGTCCTCGTCCGGTCCCTCATCACTCAGCAGTTCGTCCTCGGGAGGTCCAACCACCCCGCCTGGGTACTCTTGGCCCACCGCGGCGCCGTCGCTCTCGACGACTCTGCAGACCAAGACATCCTTGACGTCCTCGACATCCAGTGCCCCGACGTGGACGCCACCAACGTACGGCGGGGGAGACGATTCTGACGAGGACGACAGCGGAGATGACGGTGGGTATTCCTGGCCCTTTCCTTGGTGGAGGGCTCAGCGGCGGTCTGCAGAGGACGACGGGGAGCACGGAAAGCACAAGAGATGGTACATGAACTTGTGAAGGCAATGAAGTATCCTCAGCCGTCTTTTGATCTGTTGTTGTTGGGTCCTGGCCGCCCCGGGGCAGACCCATGGGACGGATTGAGGGGGACGGTTTCATTTCTTGTCACTCCTTTGCCCTCTTTGGTTGCTGCACATCCGTATCGAGCTTACATGTCGATGGTCGCGCGATTTCCTAGATTCATACTGTAACAGACACCACTTGTTCGACTTAATCATTGCCCTCTCTGGCAGTAAATATTATTCATCCCAGCGCCATACTACCTCTGACTCACTGTTGTGAACTCACCAAGGACCTCGCCCGTGATGCAGGTCGCGCGTGTGAGGGTGTCGAACCATAAGTCTTCTTCACGCGAGGGAATGCCTGGAGCAGCCTCCCCGGTTACAAGTTACAGTCCGTCCGTTCGTGCAAGCTTTCTGTCGAAGACATAGGACAATCATTGTCGTTCCAACTTAGTGAAGGAATTCAAAGAGCCCAGATGGTCTATAGCTGGCCCACGGTGTAGCACTGGGTGGCAGAACTGATTTTGCAAAACTGATGCGCGGTTTTTGAGTTTTGCCATCCTTGCATGTGCCGAAGTTATCGTGTCGAGGCCATGGGAATAGCACAATCCCCTGAGCAGATCAGTCAAACCTTGAACACATGTTAGGATGCAATCCTGTTGTCACCCGCCCGTCGTCAGCACACGCATGTAAGCGCAAGCCACCCTGTTCATATCACAAAAGCCAGCGCAGCCTGGGCCGCCCCAAGGTGGCTTTAGATAAGCCCGGCCTTGTCATTTTTGACGGACGAACATGACTTCTTCATGCGATCAAGTCTACCTCTTCTATCTTATTGCCCGGACTGAGTAACACTGCGTCGTCCGATTCGTGAGGAGTTGAAGCTGGCCATCCCAATTCAGAGAGCAGCTGCCGTGTACAGGTCTAGTTGTCGAGATATAGCAGCAGAATTATCTCCCACTGCCTGGAACGTACGCAGTACTCGCACTCTGATGTCTCCCAAAGCGATCCGCCTTCGGACGATACGCCACGGTGAGGGCGATGGGGTGTCGAAGACAAAGTCGAGCACTCCTGAGATGGAGATGCCATCTGAGTGTGGACATACACTCTCCCATGTCATAGCCACCTGTACCTCTTTGTCACGGCCGAGAGTTGATCAGCCGGGGGGCTGCTCACTGGCGAACCTCATCACATCCAACCATGGCGTATGAGTATTGTTCGACCTTCGTTTGTCAAAAAGTCCTGCCCCTTGTCATCAGACCGGGTTGAAATCATCCGTCTGGATTACCAAACGGATAGTTAAATTTCAGAAGACCATTCAAGCCACCAACCCATCCGTCGTCGTCGTCGTCATCATCCTCGCCGTCAGACGACGGCTGCTGCCCCTTGTGCAGGTCTCTGATCACGCAGGGTACGCCGCCCAGCCAGTTCCCGTCCTCTCCCTTGGTGATTGTCTCGCCCTGGATCCGGATCTCCATACCCGGGCTCGCACCGGCCCGCCTCTTGCCATCGATACTGACCTCGAGCTCGCGGCCTCGGTTCCGCTCGCTGAGCCGGAGGACGACCTTGGTGTCCAGTGGAAGGACCAGCGGCCTGAAGCTTAGGCTGCGCGGACAGATCGGGGTGATAAGGAGCGAGCCTACCAGAGGATGGACGATGGCGCCGCCGGCGCTGAGAGAATAGGCAGTGGAACCTGTTGGGGTGCTGACGAGGATGCCGTCACAGATTGCCTCGGTCAGAAAGTGGTTGTTGACGTACACATCGATCATGGCGAGGTGAGGCTGGCCACCGCGGTGGAGCAACAGTTCGTTGACAGCGTGGAAAGTTGGGGGCACCTTGACGGGCGGGACCCAATTGGGGTTGCCCAGGGCGGCCTCTTGCTCGGCACTCAAGGGCATGAGTCGCAGCCTCTGGTGGGCCTCGGCAGTGGAGGTGGGCATCAACAGGCCGTTGATGTTCTTGCCCTCGTCGTCGTAGACGCCGACCTTGAGACGGTGGCGCAAGAGGATCTTTGGGCGGGCGGCGCCGGTGGCGATGCCGCTGGTGTAGACTCTGGTCCAGGCGTCCCTGTACTCGGCGAACTTCCACTCGCCCAGGAAGCCAAGAGTGCCCATGCTGAAGGACAGGATGGGGGGCACGGTCGGGTTGAGGGAGAAGAGGCTGGCGGCGCGCAGGATGGTGCCATCGCCGCCGAGGGTGGTGACCAGGTCGATCTTGTTGGGGAAGTGGGTGGCGGGGTCGCTGCGGGAGGGGGTATATATTGGGAAGGGCAGGTGGTTGTGGATGCGGGCGGCGATTCGGTTCTCGAAGACAATGTTGATGTCCGGGTAGTTGTCGTGCAGGTGCTGTGCGAAGCGGACTGCATCCTGGACGACCTTTGGGGCGTGCAGCTTGGGGATGAGGAGGATGTTCCGCGGGGGCTGCTGCCAGTGAAGGTTGAGCAGGCCTACCGAGGTCTCGTGGTACAGCGGGCTGATCCTGTCCGGAAGGGCGGCCACATCTCGAATCTCGTTCAACGGAGCCGAGGCCGAGAATGGCCGGGCAAGCGTGGGGCGGCGACGAAGGGAGACTGAGGCCCAGCGCGCGAGTGGCCGCCTGGGTAGTGGTAGTAGTGGTGATGAAAATGATAGACTGCTCATTATGTCGCTGTTGCCGTAGGCGTGGCTAGCCAGGAAGCCCAGGAGCTGTAGCAGGCACAAGTTCGAGCACGAGCCCGGCTCTCGTGGCGGTTGGGATTGTAGCTGGGAGGAGGAGACGGGGCGGAGGAGGAGGACCCGACATTTCGAGGAGCCGCGACACCAAGTACGGGTTCTCGTGTGCGTGAGACCGGCTAGCAGAAACAGGAGGGCACGTTGCCCATGGTGGTGAAGTCGTCGGAAACAGGCATGGTGCTGTGGCAGTGGCGGTGGGTGAGGAGGGAGAGAGGGGTCGACGTCGACGGTGGGAGGGTGTTAGTCGTGTGCCGCGCTCGAAGGAGGAGAAGCTTGTTGGCGAAAGCTTGGAGAGGTTTGAGTGCAACGCGCCGAGTACGGGGCCGGTGGCATGTAGCAAAGTACCGACAGTGCCTGGGCGCCTGAGCGTTTGTGGAGTAGGTTGTTAAGCAGTTACCAAGAGACCGTGGCGAGAAACGCCTGGACATGTGTACTCTGCTAATTCTAGCCTGCAGGCCCAAGCTGCCTTGCAGTTCTGGAGGGGTCCTGGTGTCCCCACCGTCTCCAGTGGGCTGGGCGGGCCCCAGACGGTCCCTTGGCCGGAGCTCGCGGAGCTTGAGCCTCTGACATCAACCCACATGCAGGCCACCCACCAGGCCACCGACCACCGTATTCTACCTTGCGAGGCTAGCGAACAGGGAACAAGCTACCGTCAGTCTTGCGGCCATGTGATGTGGTCATCCTCTTTCTTTTCTACCCTCCGTCTCTCCTCGCTACCTTGTCCACCACCCTGCAGCTGGGAAGGCAGAAATGCCCCTCCCAACATGAGGACGAGCCTGTGATCATCGTCGCGCCCTAAGCTGGGACTACATCGAGCCCCGTTATCATCGCTCATCCTCCGTCCGTCCTCCGTCCCGCCGCCGTCCCACCCACCCCTCCTCCTTGAGCACGCGACCACGCGATCACGCCTGCCTGCCCGCTCGAACCGTCCTGTGTAGTTAAACAACTTCAAGTGCCCTTACATCGCACCCACCGCACCGCGCCGCACCCGTCGTACTGCCGGCCTCGCACTTGTCGTCGTATCCACCGCCCGTCCTGTCATGGCAGCCCAGCTTCGCCAGAGGCCCGTCGCCACGGCAGATGAGGTGCCCGGCCCCGAGCTGGCACCGGCCTTGGCCGACGAGCACCGCGCAACAGACGTCGCACATCCCTCCGGCAAGAGGAAGAAGAGCCAGCTCATGCAATGGTTGAGGGGCCTCAGTTTCGTCGCCTACTTCTTGTCTTGCTGCGTCGCGTATGCCTATCCATAGCCTTTCCTCCTCTTCCAGTCCCTCGTGTGTGTTTACTGTTTCTCTGTCTATCCGGTAGCTGACCCGTTTCCCTCCTCGCGCCAGCATCAACATCACCCAGTTTATCGGCGCCCCTCTCTACATAATCAGCCGCGATGTCTATTACGCATACATGGCCCTCACCAAGGAGTCCTTCGGCCTCTTGATAACCACCATGACAAAGATCTGGGGCCCCACCACCATACGCATAAGCGGCGATCACTCTGTCGCCGGCCAGATCAGGCGCACCCCCGACGGCCGCGTCCAGTTTGCCTTTCCCGAGCGCATCGTCATGATCGCGAACCACCAGATCTACACCGACTGGCTATACCTGTGGTGGGTCGGCTACGCCAACATGCCCCAGATGCACGGCTACATCTATATCATCCTGAAGGAATCCCTCAAGTACATCCCCGTCATCGGCACCGGCATGATGTTCTACGGATTCATCTTCATGTCCCGCAAGATGGCCGTCGACCAGCCCAGGATGGCCTACCGCCTCAACAAGCTCAGGACCGCCCACACCGCCCCCGATGGTTCCTCCTTCCTCAACCCAATGTGGCTGCTCCTGTTCCCCGAGGGCACCAACTTGTCCGGTAACGGCAGGGACAAGTCGGCCAGGTGGGCGGAAAAGGCCGGCGTCAAGGACTGCAAGCACATGCTGCTCCCTCGGAGCACCGGCATGTACTTTGTGCTCAAGGAGCTCAGGGGCTCCGTTGAATATGTCTACGACTGTACTGTTGCGTATGAGGGCATCCCGTGAGTGCCACCCCTCTAGCTTCCCGCCTCGTGCGGCCATCTCGGACGTTCTCTGGGCTCTAACATATACTTTCTCGGCCCCACAGCCACGGGAGGTACGGCGAAGAGTTCTTCAGCCTGTCCAGTACTTATTTTCAAGGCCAAGCGCCCAAGTCCGTCAACTTCTATTGGCGCCGTTTTCGCGTCGATGAGATGCCGCTGGATGAACCGGAGAAGTTCGAAACCTGGCTGCGGGAGAGATGGTACGAGAAGGATGCGCTCTTGGAGACTTATACGACCACGGGCCGCTTCCCACGGCTGCCCACCGAACCTGGGAAGGCCGACACCGAAGTGCCCGACTTTATCGAGACTGAAGTAAGAACCAAGTATTGGTGGGAGTTCCTCAGGATATTTGTCGTTATCGGTATCTTCGGCCTTCTAGGGAACCTGGTCGTAAAGTTTTGGTATAGGATGTCGCGCATTGTTTCTTTGTAAATCTCGTCACAACAACGGCATGCGAGCCAAGATAGCACAAGGCCCAGGTCAGCAGGCGGATCACCACACGGGCAACTGGAGTTCTTCGGGCTGTTATAGGAAAGAGACTAGAGGTAGGACACACTGCTAGGTTAGGTGTTGTTGGGATACCACTTTTTATGCCGGTCTGGATCGCTGCTTAACCATCCTGCTTCTCGAGAGCATCACACGTTCCGAGTCATCTGTTTTGTTCATTGAATAATGAATATGGCTGCAACACATATGCTCCGCTTCTCCTGGGTCAATTGAAACATATGCCCGAAATCACGAAGAACTTCTGGTATTCTTGACTGCTCGCTTGCCATGGTTTCTATGGGCCGCTGGGTTCCCTATTCCTGCATCTACAATAATAGTCCGGCATGGCCAGGGAGTCACGTGGAAGGCTCGACGACCGTCTGGACTGTGATTAGTCGCTGTCAGTGCGATTGCTATACAAACCGTAAAATGTTCGTGCAGCAAATCTTACGTCTCTGGCCCATGAAACAGTGGCATGCCCAAGAGCTCTCCAGCGAAGCTGAGACATTCCTAGATCCCGTCAAAGAGGGCTAGGGGCGAGGGCTAAAGGCACGTTTTGCTGAGCTGGTACTCGTCGGAGCTGCGGTTGTCCCAGAAAGCATTCTACAGGAGCGTATCTCAGAGAAGGCCTTATACACGAGCATATTCAGTTAAAACCGCTCCACGGTGGCTTGTGCTATACGCAAACTCGACTTCCCCGCTGATCAAGGCGATGAGGACCAAGGGCACCTCATACGAGAATGTGCATCATGGTTGTCTGCTTACAAGGAATGTCTTCGTTGGAATATGTTTATACTGTATAGTCCCTTTTCTGGGCCGATTTGGTAATATAAAGCAAAAGAACCGGATGGAGATTTTTACCAAAGAAAGCTGCAGAGGACATACACGGCGCTCGACGGACACGCTTGCTGATAACAAGTCGGAGTCTGGTGCATGATCCCCCGGGAATCAGCTCTTCCTGTCGAGACCTTGCATCATTATGCCCTGTTCCCTATAATGGCAAGAAGAAGAGAAAGTCGTTGACCACATTATATAGTAAACCAGAGTGAAACCTCCTACAAGGGCCTTGGCCACTTGCTGCTCGAAGAAGAGACGGCGGCTGCAAACAGCAGCCGCACAGAAGTTGGGCGAGAAATCCGAGGCCGGGCGGCTCGAACTGAGGCACGTTTAGTCGGCCACACAACAGAGAGAGTCCATGGTAGACCACACTGGACAACAGAGAAGCCAAGCAGGCTCTGGTGGTCTTATATTCCGTCTCCTAAACCATCAGGGGAGCAAGGGTGACGACCACCCAGTGCACTGCGGCCTTCTCGTCCTTCAGCGGTGTCCAGTGCGCGACGAACTTCTCGTCGCCCCTAAAGATAGCCGACCGCCGGGTCTGCAGGCGCAGCTCGGTACTGACGGGCATGCCGGCTCGGATGGCATTGCGCACCCTAGTCTTGTACTCGGACTGTTTGGCCATCATATTCAGGCCAAAAAACCTGAACACGTCGGTGCCGACGACCATGGTGCCGGCCATGTTGGCCGGGTTCAGCATCTCGACTATGCCCTCTGAGTAAAACTCGATCACGAAATTGCTGGCGCGCACCACAAGATACTGGGCACGAGTTAGCTTGAGCAAACTGGAAAAAAGTGCCAGAAGCGGTGGGCACAGTGGCTGCTGAACTACTAACCTTGGAATACGCCGTATAGAACTCCTTCATCTGTGCGTTGAGATCCTGTCCCTCCATGCGCCCCAACACACCATTTTCCATCCCAGCATCCATCTGAGGTACGTGGACGTTGTGTCCATTCTGGCGCACACCCAGGGCCTTGAGTATGGTCTTGCGCGCAGATGGCCTTGTGCTCTGGGGATTCCCGGGCAGAGGCTTGTTGTTCAACTCGGCTATGTCGGCGTCGTTTGTGGCAGACGTTGACAGGACCTTCAGGACATCAACGTTGCTGTGGATAGTTGTAGAGCAGTTCACCTGGCCGCCAATGAAGAACTCGGTCTTGCCCCGCTGGTTGTAAAGTGGTGCTACGGTGGCCCCGAAGTTAGATATCGGAGTTTTCCCCAAACGTTGTCCTCGAATCGTGCTCTGGAGTGGAAGGGGGCCGGGAGCGGATTCAGGGCATCTCGTTCACAACTCACCGACATAGAGCAGATTCCAGAAAGGATCGCCATTCTTCTTGTAGTTCAGGAGCAATTCTACTGACTCCTTCTCCTCAGTGATGGCGGCCTTGAGGCGCTGGACTGGCTGTCTGTCCGTGTGGGCGCCTTGTAGGAAGCGACAGTTGCGTGGGACACTGAATCACTCAAGGTCAGCACCAAGAGCGGTAGGGGAAGAGGAGCCCAGCTAGACAGCCAGCTACTTACATCTCGGGGCGCGAGTATCCAGTGGTTTTGACGAAACCGTCAGAGGCAAAAACGATCGGGCTATGTGCACGTCAGCTCTATGTTTCTTGGCTGGAATCCAGAAGGGGGGGGGGGGGGGGGGGGCTCACTTGTCCGCGACTCGAGGGTTTGTTAAACAAAAGCAGTCGCCAAGCCCCTGATACTTGAATCTGTCGGTGGCGAGCGCCCTGGTTGCACTCAGGGCCATCTGGTGCCTAACAAAGCGCGGGTAGACGTCCTGGAAGACGAGAGTCTCGATCTGGTCTTGCAGCTCTGTGAAGACGGTCTCCATGGAGGGGAAGGCGCTTGAGATGAGTGTCTTCATCTCCTTGTGGGCTCTCTTCAGCAGACTGCCATTGACGTTGATCTGGTACGCCGAGCCAGGGCTGATGAACTGTTTGTGGATAAAGGCCATCTGGCCGGCGAGGTTGTTGAGCGTCGTCCTGTACTCGTCGACCTTGGCCAGGAACTCGACGTTTTCGGCGCAGAGACGGCTCTCGCTGAACTTGAGCAGCTGGTAGGCGGTCGTGGGGTTGTGCAGGACCACCTGGAAGATCTCGGTGCTGAAGAAGTCGGGCATGCTCTGGGAGGCGGTGCTCTTGGCGGTCCTGCCCGAGATGGAGTTGCGGACTGAGCGGACCGAGATGTCGTCGTCGCTGTATCTCCTCCGGATGATGGGGCCGCCCGAGACGGCCTCGTGGGCTAACGAACCGATGCCGTTGGTGCGTGCGGAATAGTCGTTGTACATGCCGTCGTCGACGCTCCTGTACGTCTTCTGGTGAACCGGGCGCTGCGGGATGAGAGGAATGGTCCTGTCAACCAGGGGCTTCTTGGACTCGGCGTCCTGGTACATCTGTTGGTGGTCGAGGATGGGCGTCCTCAAGCCCTTGTAGTCGCGGGCGAGGGTTGCCGTCCTGGAGCGGGCGACACGAGAGCCTCGTGACGTGTTGCTGGCGATGCTGTCGGCCCTGCCCTCCTTCTTCCGCGGTTTGGAGTTGTTGTGAGCCGAGGGAGGGCCCCGTCTAGCCTCATAAGCGTGCGTCACCCGCGGTTGCTGTTCGAACCGGCCATCGTAGTCCTCATCACCGTCCTCGTGATCGCCATCCTCGTGGTCATCCTCCGTGTCGTCCTCGTCCTCGTCTGGGAAGTCGTCGTACACGATCCTCCGGGTGTTCTGGGCCGGCTTATGCGCGATCGGGGGTGGTGTCGCAGAGGGCGCAGGCGGCGGGAGCGGCGACCTTGCGCGTCTGGGGTTGGGGCCCCGGTGGGCCTGCTCGTCGCCGTTCTCGACCCCGTCGTGTGCTGTCTGCTCGACGTCCTCGACGATGACTGGGTGCTGGGGACGGGGCTCCTTGAGCTCCGGGAGAGGCTTGTCCACGACGGACGGGACGCCCAGGCTGCCGCTGGTGGGCCGCGACGAGTGCCTGAGGGGCACGTCGACGGACCCAAAGGTGTCGGAGCCGTCTCTGGTGTGGCGAGGCGAGGACTTGCCAGAGGCAACATGTCCAGCACGAGAGCCGGCCTTGCTGCGCGGCAGGTCGGCCGGGTCGACGTCGCCGCGGGGCCGCACAACGGCGGCGGACCCGTTGGTCTGGGCGTGGCCCTCGGTGTCGCGGGAGTCGGCCATGTTGTTCAGGGTACTGCCCTCGAAGTCCCTGAAGCGGAGGGGCCTGGATGGGGAAAGGCCACCGCTGAAGACGCCGTAGCTCGCGTCGCTGTTGGTGCGTGTCAGCACGGAGCGGGTGGTGGTGACCGAGTAGGGCTCCTCAAAGTCTGCGCTGTCGGACTCGTCGTCCCAGTCCAGGTCGGCTATGGTGTTCTTTGCAGCGCTGATGGCACCGCGGTCCACGTGGGGCAGGATGCGGTCGAGCAGCTGGTCATGGTCGCTGGTCATCATGGTGGGCATGGAGGAGGCGGGAGGGGACGAGGGGAGTTATCAGGTAGTAGTCATCAGGCGCAGGCGCAGCAACCTCGGAGGCAGACTGTGCCCTGGGGGGGCAGTCTCAGTCCCAATGTCTGGGTGGCAGCGTGCCGTTCCAAGTGTCTCTCGAAACCTGTTGTCTGCCGTGTCCTCGGCCAGCCTGTCAAACTCAATGCTCGGGTTGCATCAAGATCAGGGGCGCTGGAAGCTTGGGACTGGACAAATGGGCGACCAGAGCACATGGTGTGCAAAATATTATCTGCCCATGATCTTCGTCGCCTTGTCACCGTCGCTGCTCAATGCTCGCAAGCATCTCCAAGAGCTCTTGGACCTTCAATCATTGAGCCCCCCCCCCCTTGGGTGAGTGCCCTGTCCCTGTCCCTGCCCGCGTCCACGTCCGAGTGCTTGTCCTTGCCCGTCTCCCTGTCCCTGTCGACAACATCTGGGAGGAACCCCGTCCAGAAGCTCAACGCTCATCTCACCGCGGCCCATCCCCATCCTCTGGGAGGAGCAAGGCAGCGAGCACAGAGGTTTGAGAGGGGCCGAGGGTACGAGGAGACGGCAGGGAGATGGGCAGGGAGATGGGCAGGGGCGGCGTCCACCCGGCCAGTGATGGGATGAGAAGCAGGAGGAGCTACTGCACACGGTGTGGTGTTGGGGGCTGAAGTCTTGACCTCATCAATCTTGACCCGGGCAGAGCTGTGCGTGTGGCGCAATACGTGTAATGCTGGGTGTGGGTGGTACTGTGTGGCATCGTGTGGTTGCTGCGCGGTGCAGAAGACTGAGTGCGAATGCTGCAGTCAGCCTGTTCCGCATGTCCCGCGAGACTCGTGAGCCAACAACTGCTGGACTCTGGACTCTGGACTCTGGACTCTGGACTCTGGACTCTGGACTCTGGACCGTCCGTTCTCTTGTCTTCACCTCGGTCCACCTCCCCGTCCCCTACACTGTAGCACCCTTGGGACCGGGGGCTAATCTCCTAGTGCTGCGCACGAGTTGAGGAACGACATCCGACCGGTTCATCTCCCGCGACGGGGAACCTGCACTACTGCGCACTTGCAGATGCAACGGGGGACCGCTCGACGCCATGGTGGGAACCGTTCGCAGGGACGACCCCATGCCTTGGCTCCAGGGCTAGCGTGTGACCTGACAAAAAGTCGTCCCTGGGGATACCCTCGCTGTGATGGCCTCTGGGATGATATTCTCCGGCAAACCTCCTCCCTCAAATGGTATAAACCCTCCTGTATATGGCCGCTCTTGTGCTGCCGGTGTGACACATGCCACAGGGTGTGTAGTACGTGTACATGTATTGTGCACATATTGTACGGCGCAAATTACCGTCCTGTACCTAGTTGGAGGTTTTCGTCGTTCTTCTCCACACCAGCACACATGGACAGGGTTCTGGTCTTCAAGCACTTTGCCAGGTTCTGCGCACGATAAGAGAAGGGGGGGGGGGAACAAGAAAGAGGAAGTAAGTACCACGTAGGCAGCCCAATCTCTCTCTCATGGTTTCCCAGTCTGTGCCACGGTGTGGCCGGGCAGATTTGCCTTGAGCCCCACACCCTGACACACAGTCCCTATTGTGTACATACGGTTTATACAGTATGCTCGTCTCGGTGCGGGCTGAATTGAGCAATTGTACAAATCCTATATTCAGCGCAGCCAGCGTGTCTGATCAGGTCGTCGAATCGTGAAGTAAACGAGCCCGCCTCGACACCCACCGGTGGGCCTTGGGCGACAGCCCGTTATGCATCAGCTGCATGTGGTGGAGTGCCCTGCCTTGGGGTGGGTGTCGAGATGATCAAGGCTTCTTCTGCTGATTTGGGACGCTTGGGACGATCCCGCAGATCTGCAACAGTAGATCCGGTCCGCTGGCCGGGCGCGGCACAGCAGATCGATAAGCACGTAGGCACTAGGTACAGTACAGTATACATGCTGCAGTAATAAGTTGTGTCGCGCATGGTAGACTAGTCTGTACATAGTAGACCGTCCCACAAACACTTGTCAGCTACCGTCACCGACATTGTAGAGCATGTATATGAACCCTTGGCTATGCCCAAGCACTGCAGCGATGTCGTGACCCGGACGGCGCACAAGTATTAATTCTCCCCGCGCACTGCCACCACCCCCGAGTCTGATGAGTAATGGATTGTTCAGTGGGCATGTCACCGTCTTTCGGGCCAGGAAGGGCCTCGCAAGGTGTCCTCGTTATTGACCCAGCTTGAGCAATCTCTCCATTTCATTGCAGGTACATCAGACGCCCACCCACCTCGAACCCTTCCCCCCCACACACCATTAACTGCGTAGACTAATCAAGCCTCAAAGCACGGCTATGTAGAAGTAGTCGCCGGGCGTGGACTGCACGTGAGGACGCCATTTTGGGGACATATTCCCTTCCCAACAGCCCAAGCCACACCACTCCCCCTCGGCCGAGCAGCCCGAAAGGTATCCCACTTGCGAAGCCTCCTCTGTCCTTGCCGCGCACACGAGACGCAGGATACTGAGGCATCCTGATATCAGGCCCTGGCTATCGCCGAGTGGTGGTCTGTGCGCCGGTCATGACGCAGCCTCACAGCCCACAAGCATACCTAGGCGGCGGAAGACCGTAGTCATTGCGCGGATTACCGTACTTGTACTGTCCAGAGGATACAATGGCGATCATTCAATCAACAAACAGGAGCAATGACGTGTCTTCTGTAGGGCAATCAGCCCGGGAGAGGGGCAGCCGGGTTCGAGAGCCCTGGCCTCCTCTCCCCGGAGCAGGGGCCCATCGCAGCAACCGTCCCACAAGCAGTGCGACCCTGCACGACGATCGAGATGAGCAGCCAAGTCGACAGGGGCTATTGCGTGCGTGTCCCGCATCTGTCACAATATAGACTAACCGCAGGATTGCTAAATTCTATGCCAGCACGATTTCATTTGGGGTCTTTGTGACAGATCAGATAGAGTGGCAGATCAGATCTACTTGTGATACTTTTGGACCAGATCTGGGCATGCACTCATGTCCAAGTCTCCCCGATCCAGATCGTATCCGTATCCACAACTCAATCGTTCTGAGCAAAATAGGAACCCCCCCACCCATCACGAGACCCTGGCCGTCTACAAATTTGTGGAGTATGCCTACACTAGCAAGCACGTGAATGTGCATGCCATCAACGGGTGTGGCGATCATTACTTTTGATTGTCTATCTGGGATACCGGTTTGACAGCAGCGACCCTGCGACGTTCTCGGTGATGGGCACCGTGGTGAGGGTGACCAATAACTTTGAAAGGCATCCATCCGTACAATTCAGCACATTGACAGTTTCAGCCGGTCAACATGATGCTAGTCTCGAGGTCTGTCGTGGGCACCTCGAGCTAATAGCAAATTGTATGGACCAAACCTGTATCCAGATATTTGGCCCGCATTAGGCCCAAGGAGACGTGCAGGGGCAGACATCAGGGCGACGTCCACCAAAAAGAGGTTCAGATATCAAGCCACCCTCTGGTATTAATATATTACCGGTATGTCTATTGTGTACATTACGCACTGTTTCCTCGTATTATCGACCCAAGCGGGCCAAAAAGTGCATATATCAAAGGCATGACCTTGAGAGCACGTTCAGTATTCACTTCAGAGATGGTTGATCAGTTGCTTCAGGTACCATGATCCGGAATAGAAGCAGAGTCATTCTTTACTGCCATGTGCAGTCCGGAAAGGTTAGCACATGTATTTGTGAGTGGAGCCGCACTTTACTCCCAAACTGGCTCAGTCTGCGATCATGCATAAGCATGGCTGCCCAGTAGTCAGCAAGACAACAAATGAGCTTTAGCAACCAAGGGATTCGAGGATAGATGGTTGTTTTAGTTACAGTTATATCCGTTTCCTGACAATGATTTTGTATAGGGACTTCCCACTGGAAAGTCTAGGCAGGGTACATGCTGGGACGAACAAAGTCTTGCTGTTGTGGAAACACTCGTTCTGCTTTCCGCGGGCTCACCTTCAGACTAGTTGCGGACGTCAACGATTCCTGATGTATTCAAAATTAAAAGGACAAATCGAATTGAGGCAGGTGCTTGCTGATCAACCAAGGCAGGCTGCTGAAACGGAGTACGTATGCCAGGGCGGTCGATAAATGCGCCAACACACGCAAGAGTAGGTTTATATCTGTGGGCTTTAGTCACAATATCCGAGAGTCATCTACTCAACGGTTTGAGGATCCAATGACCACGGCTCGGGAAACACAAAGTGATGTCAATGCTTGTGGTTCGGTCACACAAAGCTCTGGGGGCCACGAGTGCGATGGGGACGAGACGCACTCCGACGAGACTCGATGCGCACCTATTTTCCATTTGGAAAAAAAATTAACAATTGCAAGCCAACTGTTACCATTGTCCTGGATTAGTTCCTAAGAACTTGATGCCAGAACGATTACGTACTCCATTTACCCTCAGTTCCGTGGGTCTCAGTAAGTCTCCTGTCTCGAATCAAATACCCACATGGCCTTATATTATCCAGCTGTCATGGGATTGTAACAGTAACATACTGCTCTCGTTCCACACGTGGTAAGACAACTGCCTCCTCCGATGAGGTACAGCGCATTTCAGGTATTTGGCGCCACTAGTCTCTTGCTGACGCATTTAACTTATGAAAACTTATCTCGACGATCATGTTGAATATCATGAGGCCAAATCCTCGGGGACAGAGCGTAATGCCGCCAGGCTACGTTGGGATGGTCAGTGGGCTGAGCTCTTGTGTATGTTTATGAAGCCACATGGAGTGTCCATGAGACACAAGACGAACGGCGCGGTCTGGGCACCCACCTAAGTAGATAGCCATGGACGGAATACCGCTGCCAGCGTTGCGGTTGTCGTCAGAGTAAAGACGGGGTGCGGTGCACCAATGCGCACACATACCGGCGGGGCTTGGACGAGTCTGCCAGCCTCGTTCCGTGAGCCGCGTCTGAAAACGCCACGACCTTAGGGGCGGGATTGAAGCGCGGTGTTGTCAGTCCTTGGGAAGGTAGTTCGAATGGGCTGTGCAGATAGGTAGGTGATGTTCAAATTTGTACACCAGTGGCGGCTCAAACGGTCCACAAGGTCTATGTAATCACACCGTTGATGCGTCGAACATGACGTAATTTTCAGATCCCATGTTGGACATTTCCCTGCCCATGCGTACTACATGATAGTTTCGAGAAGGTACCCAGAGATCACTCATTGCTCTCTCTCACACCACATCAACCCTCGGGACCGGAATTACGATGCCCTCAACCACGGCGCCCGCCGCCCTTTGCGCACTTCGCGTGAGCAAGCACGTGGTCCCCTCGCATGGCCTTCTGCCAAACAGTTCCATCCTGCACAAACCACTCCTCATCTACCATTCCGTGTTCGCCAAGCCATCCGCCTCGGCAATAGAATCGCACCTGAGCTCGGTGGGCGTCGTCGTGCCCCAGTGGCGCTACTCCATGTATGCCACCAGCCACTTCCACAGCAATACGCATGAAGTCCTCTGTGTCTGCTCCGGGCGCGCAAGGCTGTGTTTCGGGGGGGAAGACAACCCGGGGAGGGTCGAGCCCGTCGTCCAGGCCGGAGACGTCATCGTCTTGGCTGCTGGGATGGCCCATCGGCTGCTGGATGACACTAGTACCGCCTCGAGGTTTGAGATGGTCGGCTCTTACCCGAAAGGCTGCGACTGGGACATGTGCTACGGGAGGGAGGGAGAAGAGAGACAAGTAGACGCCATAAGAAACGTGCCATGGTTCGACAGAGACCCCATCTATGGCGACCAAGGCCCGGTGCTTGATGTTTAGGTCACCAACACGACCACTGTACGAGAATCCGGGTGATTTGTGGGATTGGCATGTGGCAAAGGAACGAATGCTTTTCATGTACGCGTACAGGCCGACAGTCGAGAAACAACAACCGAAGAGACTGGCGTTGACGTTTTGAAAGCTAGCATGTGTGGGTTCCAGGTCGCGACCACCTAGGCAACAATCTCCACCGAAGCAATCCTATTCCCCGGCAAGGACAGACCAAATGGGCCTTGATGAAAGACTGTTCCTCAAAGATATCACCCGCAGTCCCCACAACCCGCACAAACCAGACGAACTAGATCGGTCCGTAAACTAAACTGGGTCCTCCCTTCTGGTCTTTAGGCATCATCCTCGAGCGAGATCAACAGGCGCGAAGCCAAGTATTGTACAATAGCCCAACAACACAAATCTGCAGAAATTCAACGAGCGTCCAGGGGCATGTATGCCATTGCCCCATATCTTAGCCTCGCCGGCTCGTCCAATATCGTGGACCACCACTGCTTCCCGTTTCCAAGTCGCCTGTCCTCAATTCCGTTGTCGACTCGGTATCGTCATTAATGGGCCCTTCTGACCCTTCCCCATTGCAGCTGATGTGCTAACAACATGGCCCCCAATCATCAGAAGCGGAATTGCTGCTTCCGGAGTGCCTTCATCCACTCGAACTTGTTCTCGGGTGGCAGGCCCTTGGTGGCTACTGGCTCAGCGTACACCCTGCCTTCAGCATCCTCATAATGGTGAGTCATCTGAAAGTGGGTTTCGAAGTGTGTCTTGCACACCTCCTCAAGCTTGTGCTGCTCAGCCTGCTCGGGCGACATGGTGAGGGTGCGGTGGAAGCGCAGAGCACGCTTGGGGTCTGCCCTCTCCTCGCCTCTGGGCTTCTGTCCCTTTCGGTGGCTGGCTCGGTATTTCTGGCGCTCGTATGCCTTCTCTGCCTCCTTCTCGGACTTGCTCATATACGACTCCTTAATTCGCTTCACAATTCCCTTCAGGAAGGCCTCCATGATCTTTCTGTCGTTCAGAACCCGGGAGAGCTCCTCTCTGGCGCTGAGGCCTGAGTTGTCCGATTTCAAGGAGTCAGTGGATGAAATGTTGTCGGAAACGCCAGTGGTTGGCGCCATCTGACTCTCTGGAAGCACAGGCGAGGGTGGAGGGCTGGATTTATCCGAGGGAGGGGGTGTAGGAATCTCAGTAAGCCAGTGACCGCTTCCAGACAGCTCTGGAGAACGATGCTCACCGAGAGGATCGGTCTCGTCCTCGCCGTCAGACCAGTCACTGCCCTGCAGATCCCAGTGAGAGGAGTCGTCGTAATCGTCATCGGTGTATTCGTAGTCGCAGTCGGATGCCGACGAAGATGCGGAGGCAGAGGTGGATGAGTCGGTTGGTTCTTCTCCGCCGGGGGTCTCTTGGATTGTCCAGATTGCTGCCTCTGAAAATGCATTGTCGTCTTGCACGACCCAGCTTGGCGAATCTGCGCCTGCCGCCTGGTGCTGATTTCTGTAGTAATCATCCCTCATGGTTTGCCAGGTCGCCAATGCTTGGGCCCTAATTTGGGCAACCGGATGATGATGGCTGCGAAGGCCGACCACCGTGATGGGCTCTAGGTCACCACGACGGTATGGTTCGACGTCCTCGTTGCTGGACTCGGGGCTCTGGTCTTCGCCTGGCTTGGGCGGGTCGAGGCCGAACTGCATGTAGATCTGGTTGGCACCTTCACGGTCGATCCGCTGCAGCAGTTTCTTCTCGTGCTGAGCAATGAATCCGAGGTGCTTCTTGTTTGTGTCTCGTACGATTTTGAGCGCTTGGATGGATGGAGAGGGGCTGACCCTGCCGTCTACTTCCACGCGAGGCCTGAACCAGAACCGAGCCTCGACCTGCAGAGGAACATACATCTTGGGGGAATCGTTTCGGGGGATCAGGGGGTAGAAACGGTAGTGGATTGGGGCAAGCAGAGGGCATAGAAGAAGAAAGAGTGATGTTCAGCAGCAGAGGTAGCCTCTCCCTTAATTACTGGGTCAAGGAAGGAGGCAGCGATACTGGCCCGGATGAGCTGTGCTGCACTGCACTGCACTGCGTTGGTATGTCTTCGACTCTGTTGGGGGTGCTGGGCCCAGGTTCGTTGACTGCAAACCGGAAAAGGGGCAGCGCGAGGAAGTGAAGCCGGGATGAAGCTGGCCAGGACGTGATGAAAGGTGTCGTGGGTTGAACAAGTGCGAGCGTTTTGCAGGTGATTGAAAGCCCTTGTTGCGGTGACAAGGCATGTGGATGCTACTGAGAATACTTTGAAGGGAGGGAGAAGGGAAGAGGGCAGAGGATGGAGGATAGAGATGCCGAGGGCTGAGAGGTTCTGGGACGGTGATTGGAGACTTCCGGCCCCAAGCCGAAGTGTGACTGTCTGCCGTGTGATTCAGAGCTGTGGATGGATTGATTTGTCTGAATAGACTTCGCAAGAGTCTGACTGTCGTCCCTGTGCCTGCTCTTCAGGCTGCCTGGTGGCTCAGCAGACAATGGCAGTGTCAATGGATAGAGCAATGACGCTGTGAAGGTGCGGTCCACGTGCCTTCCCTATTGTGCCTTCGATGTTGCTGCCTCCCTGTTGATGCTTTCACGAGATCGAAGACACGTCACGTCGTGCTTGTGTCAAGCATGTGTCGAATATCTGTCCCATGCCGAGAGACCTGAGCAATACTTAGGTGGTCAATGGACAATGGTCAGCAGTCAGTAGCCAGTGCCGGCTCTTCCACAGAGAAGCAAAGCAAGAGCAATGACACGACGTTGTGACAGGCAAAAGAACACTAGAGCACCAGGACGCCCCCGGGGGAAAGTGTGGTCCTTTGTGAATCAGTCAACAGCAAGCTGCCAGGCGTTTCCTCTCAAGCACAATGGTGTCAGTGATGGCCTGTTCGGGCTCCAACACACACACACACACACACAGAGTACGGGCTATTGCCAGGCTCCTTTGACCTGGGGGGAAGTCCAGGTGTCGTGGATGCCGTGCCGCGCTATGTTTGTGACTGGACCATACCACGCAAACTGGAAAAGTGACGGCCTGTTGTGGCCTGACAGGGCAGTGTCACATGAGCGAACTGATCATGGACGCCTTGATCAAGGGGTATCAACTTGCATTCATTCATATACTTATCTGATATCTGTGGAGCTCCCTCATCGCAGTGTCCATGTGTCTCCTGCCATCCATACAGAAGACCACCCAACCACGTCATCTAGTGGCCCTCCCTCCTACGCAGGAACAGCTCCACAACAGTCTTTTGCTTCTCCTCCAGCACCCTGCGCTCCTTATCCCTGAGCGGCGTTTCCGTCCGACAGGCAACAGGCCCGAAGATCTGTGCTACTCTACGTTCCCTGGCCTTCCGCCTTTCCAGCGACGCAACAGCCTCTACCACTGGCGTTGCCGCCGCTCCAGACGAAGCACCCCCAGTCATACTGCGCCGGAGGCTCATCGATCTGCGGCTCAGCGCTCCTCCGATGGCACCCATACCGCCGCCGCCGCCCGCCTGATGGCTGGACCCAGCAGCACTGAGCGCATCGACCTCGCTCTTCTTCAGCGGTGCCAGTTCACCAATGACTTTTGCAAGGGTAGTGGTCAAGAACACAAAGCAAATATTGTGGTTGGGTGCGGTCATGAGGATGTCGAGGATGTTAGACTTGTCGTCTTCGGTGGAATCATGAGATGAGCCTTTTGCAGCCGTCCCCTGTCCAAGCGCCCGTATGGGCGCCTGTTCGACCTTGGCCCATAGAGACGGATTTAAGATGCCGTCCGTCAGGCCCTGTAGGAATAGAAGTAGAGCTTTTGCCACGGCCTCTAGCCGCTGGCAGGGGTCTGCCTCGGGAGGGAATGCGTCGGCGATCGGCTGATCTTTGTCCAGGGCCTCGATGACGCTGGAGACAAGGCCCGCACGAGGCCGCGCGACAGGGTCCTCGAACGGCCACCCTGGCTTGTCCCTGGGCACGTTGTAGGCTTCAAGCATCTCCTCCTCTGCCAACGTCCGGTCCGTCAGCATCTCAACTGCATCGACCAGCTTGAACAGCTCCTTCGGTGCAGACCGATGGACATCAAGGGCGGGGGGAATGGCGCTTGGACTTGCCCGCCCTTTCTCGCGAGCCAAGGAAGTAACAAATGCCCGGACCCCGCCGTCAGGAACCCGTATGAGCTCGTCAATCGACCTGCCAACGCAGGTAGGGGCCCAGGTAGCCCGGACTGGCAAGAAGTGGTCTCTGCCTTGCGCGACTCGAAGCACAACCACCTCCTCCAGCTTCCCTCGGCCCTCGTTCAGCATTCTGGCCTGCGACACCTTATCGATGCACAGCCCCAGCGTGGCATTCACCGTCTCGCCTGGCTCCAGAATCACGTCCTTTCCAACATCCTCGGGATTGCCTCCGTTGGTATCGTCGCCCGACAGTGTTTGGTCGAGCGAGGACGTGAGCCAGTGGGCCAGATCTGCCCCGTCACCCTCTGTGCCTCCACCACTTGGCCTCTCAACGAAGCTGATCGTGGCCGGAACCCCTCCAGTGTTTGCTATCGTGAAGTAGGCGGCCTGCCTCTGCATGAAGCTGATCTGGCCGAAATCAACCAGGTCGTGGCCGGATTCCTGTCCTTCCCTGACGATGGTGATGGATGGACGGCCTTCGTTCTCGGCGCGGTCCAGCTCCCGGGCCACTTGAGCGTAGATGTCGGCCTTGAGTTCTGGAATGACTGCATCAAATTCGAGCTCAAAGACAGCCACAAGAGGCTTATGGTCGGAGGATGTTATTCGTTGGTGGGTGGTATAAAGGTTCAAATTGACCCGGTCCAGGGCATCCGCTACAACCGCGTCCGCGGCCGTATCGTCACCATCCTCATCATACTCATCATAATCCAAACCGGGCTTTCCAGCAGGTGCCGTGTCACCGTCGCTTTCAGGGTCGTAGTCAAACAAAACCTCGTCATCGTCCCCAGCATGATCAATACCGCGAGACGTCATCTCCTCGTCTCGTTTCCGCGCTTCTTCTTCCTCCTTGAGCTTCCTCTCGTACTCTTGTTTGTCTCTTTTGGTCCGGTACATGATCCGATCGCACCAGCTGGGAGCTCTCTTCTTCTCGCTAGAATCAAACAGACCGACTGTGCCCACGTCGTACTTGTAGGATGGCAAAAAGGTGATTGGGCCTTCGTGCCAGCCGTCGTAAAATAATTTGCCCTCCTTTCTGACCCGCAGAAGCTGGTCATGTGGCAGTAACGAGTCTAAAGTCGCCTGGAGAGATGCAGGGTCTTCGTGAGGGTCCGGATCGAAGTCATCAGGGTCGGGGAGGGACAAGGACTCGTCATCACTGCTCTGCTCGGTCGAACGGGTCCTCCCAGAAGCATCGTCTGTCTGGTCATCGCTACTGTCGGAAGTCCTCGTCACAATGATTGCCTCCTCACCGTCCAGGTCCTGTGATTTGGGTCTGCCCACGTCATACTCGCCCTTCGAGTGGAGCGTCAGCAACCGGCGGATGTCGTCACCGGGTATGCCATCCAGCCTAAAGTTCAAGTCGCCGAACCAGAAAGCAAAGTCCTCATTCCCAATTCTGTCCTCGTCGTCTTGCTCGTCGCTCCCGGGAATGATCACAGGGTCAAAACGGGTCCTGTCCAGAATGGTCCTGGCGTCCCAACAGCGGCGTTCGACGGTGGCAGGGTCGTTGCCACTGGACAGGTGCGAATTAACAAAGACGATTCTGGTGGTCTCCCCGAGGACAATGCGGGCTGCCGTCGCGCCTTTGTTCCCAAACCAGCCGCCAACGCCCGTTCCGACAGCCTTGGTGCTGATGTTCGCAATACAAGGCGCCAACCCAGGAGAGGCGTACATCAGAAGGAGGAGCCCGGACATTTGCTCTGAGCCAACGAACTGATAGCCCTCCGGGAGGGCAGCCTCAAGAGCCAGCCGCCACTTGTCGGTGGGGTTCGTGTCCGAGTAGACATACTGGGTTACGGGGTTGAGAGTAACGACTTCCTGCAGGCCTAAAATATAAAGGTCGATCTTGTCCCCTCCCAGCACACGCGTTGAGCCCGAGGATTGGTTTGTGGTGCCCTCTGAGTCCTGTGCCTCCACGGCGGGACTGTGAGGGAGGCCAGGGGAGGCCAAATTGCCGTCAATGCCCTTGCCATCAATAAACCAAGCTGCCAGGTCTTTGTCTGTGCCAGGGCAGGCGGCAACATTCCAGGAGCCAACCTTGAGCTTTATGCGACGAGGCCTGGTGTACTCGGCGCGGCGCGCGTAGACGGCGCGGCTCAGGGACTGGGGGGTCGATAGCACGAGGTCGGCAGGGTCGGTGGTTTCGGACATGGAGTGTGCGTGGCCTGCTGAGGATGGCATGTCGTGAGGCTTGGGAAGGGGCGTGATTGGAGGTTTTGCCTGTGATGATTCCAGGTGAGCAAGACGGAGGGAGCATCGGCGGCCGAGGAAGGCAGAGAGCCCGAGGAGGAGGAGAAGGGGAAAAGGGCAGGGCTGACATGCGGCAAAGCATCGAGAAGCTTCCCGGCGCTTATCTCTGGCAATGACGTGGAGGAGGAGGACGAGGAGAGTCGAGACACAGCCTGCTCAAGGCTAGTACATCCTCGAGGAAGAAGAGCGCCAAACACGAGGCGAGGTCGAAGTATGTGAGGTCTTGTCGTGTCGTGTTGGGAGAAAACTGATAATTTCACCAAATAAATAAACGCTGAATGGCTAAAGCAGATGCTCGAGTTTTAAACTGGTCGAGGCTTGCAGTGCGGTGCTGCTGGGCACATGGTTGATCCTGCCATTCAACCAGGACACGAGGAAGCGAACGTCACAAGGGCGGCCTCGACGACAGATAGCTAGCTCTCCTGCCTGCCCCGCGTGCGAGTGTGTGTGGACTGGCCCCGGGTAGACCCCACCAACTCTATTGTTTACCACCAACGTCATCCGCCCACCATCCACCACCGTCCTGTCGGCCTCAAGTCGACAAGGTCGAGGCCGCCGAGATAGTCAAGGCACCCGGTCATAATACGTTGTTCTTGTGCGTGCCTGCAGCAACCCCACGTCTCGACAGCTTCGAAGCGTGCCTCGTTTGGAACACCATCGCATTCTTTCACAACTTGCGGCCGTCGACAAGGTCAAGTCGAGGTCCCCAAAAAGCCACCATCATTCATTCGACCTTCAACGACGAAAATCCTCCAACCAACCAACCCTGTTCATCCCCCATCCACACCTTCCACACCTTTCACACCACCCACGTCCATCATGGGCCCCTCGACACCTCGCAGACCGCAAAAGCAGCGGAATCATCCTAGCAGCGGAGCTGGCGGCCGTCCGCCAAACAACGCCCCCACCGACTACGAGTCCGATGCCTTCTATCCCGAAGCTGCTGCTCAGCTGCAACCACCCATACCGCAACAGCCCATCGCGACCCAGAACCAGAGAGAGCACACCATCGACGAGATAAACCTCACCGTCCTCAAGCGCTACGTCCCCACAATCCAGGACTATACCGCAATGGCACACAACGCCACCCTCTTCACGTGGAAAATCGAGACGGGTGGCTGGGAGGAGACCGGCGTCAAAGGCCCTTTCTTTGTCTGCAACCAGGAGCAGCGGTTATCTACCACCGGTCGCTTCATCCCCCGCGCCTGCGCCTTCATCTTGAATCGCAGTAGCCCCGAGAATGCCGTCTTTGACCTGGCAACTATCGCAGAATGCGAGTTACTCGAGGGTCAGCTCCTCTCTACAATAACCGATAGCGGCCAAGGCTGGGGCTTCTTCATGGATATGGGAAAGGCGCAGGAGACCTGGGATGCTTTTAGAAAGCTGTGGCACACTGTGCGAGCTGCAGGGCAGGGCTGAAATACAAACTATCCACGTAGTTTAATACAACCAGCCTATTTTATTACAGCTTTAAAATAAAGTTTAAGAAAAAACTATTGTAATAAAGTTATAAAAATTAATTATAAAGTAATATTAATTATTTAATAATAAATTAAAATAAAATTAATATTATATATATATATATATATTATTAATAAATAATATATATTAATAAATAATATATTTTTATATTATTTATTAGGCTGCGTGGCGTACTGGTTATGCATTTAGCTTTTCTCTATGGAGAGCGTAGGTTTGAACCTTGCCGCGGCCGCCGAGACCTTTTTTGGGAATTTTCTCCTTGACTATGCTATGGCGAATCGCGGCCTGCCCATTTGCAACCCCCCTAGCTAAAAGGGGCTTATGTTTAAGGCCTTAAAAATCCTACTAAAGCTAATAAAAATACGTACTTAAAGAAAGCCCTAAGCCCTTAAAACTTTAAGCTAACAGTGCCTTAAAATATATCTTATAATAAGGCTTTTTTATAAGAAACCTTTAAATTAATTAATAAATAAGCCTTATTATAAGCTTTAATTAGCTTTATTAAAAACCTTATATTAATAAAGATAGCTTTATAACCTTATATTAAAGTAGCTATGGCTTTTAATAAGGAAGTAATAACTTTTTATTAAATAATTATAAGGAATTTGCTTATAAAAAGCAGCCCTTATTAAGATTAAGATTAAAAGAAAGGATTATTAAGAGAGAAAAGTAAGGAAGGGCTTTATAAATCTTAAAAGAGGTTAAGAGAAAAGCTTTTAATTAAAGGAATTAAAAGGTATATTAATTTTTATTTAGCTTTAAGGCATGGTTTTTTTAATATAAGTGAATTTGCAAAGGGATTGCATGTTAATTAGCAAGCTTTATATATATATATATATATATATATTATAGCTTTATATAAATAAAATATTATTATTATATTATTTATTAACTTTAATATAATTTATTATTAAATAATTAATATTACTTTATTTAATTTTATTAATTTAAAGTAAGTAATATAAGTATAATATAATTAAAAGTTATTAAAATTTATATAAAATAACTTTTTTTAATATTAATTATATTTTAATATTTTATATTAATTTTATTTTAATTAACTTATTTAAATATTTAATATATTAAAATTTATTAAATATAATATATATTTTTTATTTTATAAATATATAATTTAATTTTAAAATTAAATTTAATTATTTTTATAATTATTAAAAAGCTTTTTATAAGAATTTAAAAATTATTAAAAATTAATTTAAGCTTTTTATAATATAATAATTATTATATATATTAATAAATATAAATAAATTAAATTAATTTAACTTAATAATTAAAAATAAATAATTATTATTAAATATATTATTATAAATAAATTATAAATTTTTTAATTTATAAATAATTAAATTATTAAGCTTATTTTTAATAAATAAATTAAGTTAAAAAAATTAATTATTAAATATTAATTATAAATAATTATAAAAGCTATATATTATATTTATTTTACTTATTTTAATTATTTAATATTATATTATATTTATTTTAAATATATATATATAATAATAAAATTAATTTTTTATTTAAGCTTTAATTAATTATATTATTAAGTTTAATTTTTTTTATATTTAAAATAACTTATAATAAAACTTTTATAATAAAAAGTATTAAGTTTACATTTTAAAAAATTAAAATTATCCTTTATATTATAGGTTAACTTTATATTTTTAAAGTTTAAAGTGCTTAAATAAGGTTAATATTTAAAGTATAAAAAAAGAAATTTACTTTTTATTTATACTTACATTAAAGCTTATTTTTATATAAGCTTAAAGCTTATTAATTAATTATATTAAGCAAAGTTTAAATTATAATATATTTTTCTTTTTTAAGTTTTTATAATAAGCTTAAAAAGATAATTATTTAATAAAAAATAAAGGATATTATAATTTAATTATAAATTAAATATTATTATTTATTTAATTATTTAATTATACTTTAACGCTTTTTAAATATATTAAAGGCCTAGCTTATTTTTTATAATTAATATGCCTTTAATCTTTATAATTTAATATATTAAATAATAATAAAATTATTTAAATATAAGTTAGCTATTAAGTTAATAATATTTTTATAATGTCTTAATATAAATTATTTATATATACTTTTTTATTTAAAGCTTTAAAATTATAAAATTATTATATATTTTATAATTAATTAATATTTAATATATTAATAATTTACTTTCTTAATAAGATTTTCCATAAGGCTAAATATATCTTATAATATTATATTAATTAATATATAATTAATATGCTTTAAGCCTTGGTTAATATTAAGCTAATTATATTTTAAGCTTTACCTTATAAGAAAATTTTTACATTTCCTTAAGTAAATTCCTTCCTCTTATTAACCTTAATTAATAAAAGTTATATCTTTATTTTTTTATAATAATTAAAATAATTATATTTATTATAATTAAGCTAATTATTTATAAAATATTTAATTTTATTTATTAAAATTATTATAATATTAATATTTATTATTTTATTATTTTAAGGTTAAGCATTCTCCTTTTTTATTATAATATTAAAAATGCTTTTATATTATTATAAAGTAAAATAAAAAGCTTTAAATATTTTTAGCAATTTTTTAAAATTAAGCTAAGCTTTTATTATAAAGATTAAATTATTAATTATTAATAATATTTTATATTTATTTAATTAACTTTAAATTTGTAATTAATTATATTAAAAAAAATTTGTTTTTTATAATATTATTATAATATAATTAACTTAAACTTGATATATTTTTATATAAAAATGTTTTTAAATATTTTTAAAATAAATTTAATTATTCCTTAAATATTTTTATAAACTTAATATAAAAAAATTAATTATAAAGGTTTTTAATTAATTAAATATATATTAAAAATTAAGCTCCTTTAATATTAATTACTTTTTTATTTATTAAAAATTTAACCTTTATTTTTATTAATTAAATTATTAAGTATTTTTAAAATAAAAGTTTCTTAAAATAAAAAAGAGCTTAATAAGCTATTATTATTTTTTTTAAGTTTTATTATATTAAGTTTTATATAATTACTTTATAAGTTTATAATATAAAAAAACTTTAAATATATATTATAAGCTAACCTTATGCTTTTAAAGTTAAAAATATTTAAATAAGGTTAATATTTAAAGTATAAAGAAAGAAGTTTACTTTTTATTTATATTTATGTTAAAGCTTATTTTTATAAGGTTAAAGCTTGCTAATTAATTATAATAAGCAAAGCTTAAATTATAATACTTTAAAACCTTAATTTTATAATTTTTAAGCTTAATATTTACTTATAAATTTTAAAATAAATCTTTTTTACTTTTTTTAAAAATTAAACGTTTTAAATATTATTAAATGCTTAATAAATTATTTAATAATTAAGTTTTATTAAAAATAAAATATTTATTATTAAAATGATTATTAATTAAATAATAAAACATATATAAATAATAATATATAAGCTTATTAATTTAAAAAATTTAATTTATATTTTTTATTAATTAATATTATATATATAAAGAATAAAGATAATAATAATTAATTATTATATATGTAATTAATTTAATTATATGTTATGAGCTCGGCCCTAAAGGGGCTGCAAGCTGGCTAGCGCTTTTTTCCATAAGCTATAATGCAGCAACCTTTTAACTAAGCCAAAAGGTATGTAATAATCCAAGCTCCCTTAAATTATTTAGCTACACTATATAAGGCTTGGGCAATAGCCCAAGCTTATTATATAGCCCCTTCCCCTAAAACCCTCTTAATATAATAATATAATTACCCTTAAGGCTTACTTATAATATTGCCTTTTTAAGCTAAGGTTCTTCTTTATAAAAGAAGTGCCTATATATTGCAGCAAATATAACTTAAACCTTTAACCCTAAAGCTTGGATTATTTATTATAAGCTTAGCCCTAAAGGGGCTGCAAGCTAGTTAGCGCCTTTTCTCATAAGTTGCAATGCAGCAACCTTTTAATTAAGCCAAAAGGTACGTAATAATCCAAGCTCCCTTGGATTATCTAGCCACACTATATAAGGCTTAAGCAATAGCCCAAGCCCATTACATTATAATAATTAAATATAAGTTATAATAAAGTTATAACTTATATTTATTTAAATATAAACTAGTTAAAATAATTTATATATTATTATATATAATTATTAATTAATAATTAATTATTATTAATTAATAATAATTATTAATAAAATTAATTTAAATTATATACTTTTAAATTTATATATATTATATATATATATATATATATTATAAGCATATTATACTTATATATATATTTTTTATATTAAGAGTTTTATATATATATATATATATATATATATATATATGCTTTAAAATTATATTTTTTTTCCTTTAAAATATTACTTAATTAATTAAATTACTTAATTAATATAAATATTTTATTTTTTAAATAATTATAAGGAATTAAGTATTTTATATTTATTATTTTAATAAGTTAAGTATAAGTATTTAAATATAAATATGCTTAAATATTTTAAGTGCTTAAATTGCTTAAATCGCTTAATTAAATTCTTTAATTATTAATACTACTAGATTCAACCAATGGTGAATATACCGTGGTTGGACGGTTCCATGGTGAATTCACCATAAATTTACCAGGGAATGGTAATTTACTGGTAATTTATTGTGAATTTACGGTAAATGCCTAAGGCACTAAGATTTATGAATAAAAACCAGCCCTTACCATTTATTAGCTTAAAAAATAAAATAATAATTAAGCAATTATTACGTTAATTATTAAAATTAATTATATTTATAAGGATTTTATTATAAGATATATATAAAATTTAATAATTAAGAGTTTTATTGCCTTTATTAACTAAAAATCATGGCTAATAACCTAAACATTAAAACCTTTACGTCCTTTTTAGCAAAAGCAATTAATTAAAATA